TTTAGAATCCAATGCGGATTGTAGAATTAGGTAGTTGAATCCTGGTCGAGCAGACGTCGTAGAACCACAAGCACATGAGTGGGACGAAAATACTGTTCGAAGGACATAGTTTTTACGCTAACCTCTACGTTCTGTAATCAAGTTAGTAACATTAATTTCTGTATTCATTGTATAATTTTCATTCTGCACAACAAGTATATTTTGGTTAATAAAATATTAGAATTTCTGTTATTTTGTTTATTTCTTGTGGCTTTTTTGAGTTCTTACAAAAGAAAAACAAACAAAATATTGAAAAGGAAAATTATTTTATAAGTAGACTCAAACAAAACCTCATCTGAAGCCCTCGATGTTTGAAATTAAACCTAGATACAAAGAACTGACTTAAAAGGATACATTTGCGCTTCTCTACCTGCTAATGTATGACATTGACACTAAAGATACCACGCAATAACGCAGGGAAGGTACGAGGGCTGGTAAAACATCAAGAACATTTCTTTTGAGTGTTCTTATAACCACAACAGTAATCCTCGAATGTATGATGTATGTTTCAAACTCGGTCAATGGAGATAAAAATAATTTGACATTTTTATTAGCGTTTAATGTTTACTTCTACACTTTCTGAAGAAAATGAGGGATATATTAGAGGTATACATGGAGGAAATCGAGAAAGGTGGTGGGATCGACTGCTTTGAGAAAGGAACTGAAGGGAAAGGGAGCATTCCATTTGAGCAACCATCAGCTCGTGACATCACCATGGATGCTGAGAAGGCGACAAAAACAAGTTATGAGTCAGCAGGAGGTACCCCGTATCATAGCAGGAAACAATCTCATTCTAGTGATGCTATTCTTTCTGCAACTGCGATGAATACTTATTCTGAGGATTGCGAAAAACCAAAACGTAGTCTTGAGGGACGCCATGAATATCTAGAAGATCAGAGAAGTGTAAGTAGGGACATGCATGATACGGGAAATCATTCGAGAAGTCCAGAAAGTCACCGAGATCATGGATGGTCAGACAGGCATACTCGCAATCGCAGAGAACGAGATGATCTGGAGGTGACAAAGACCAAGCATCATGAAACCAAAATGTCATCTTCTAGCATATCCAAGTATAAAGATAATAGATCATCTTCTCAGTCAAATTCTCATCAGAAATCAAAAGTTAGAAGGGACAGGTACACATATGAGAATCACAGTTCAAACTCTATGGAACAAAATACGTTTGATGACAGATATGATCCTTTGGAGCCTCGTGACGTATATGAAGACAATCTCTCTACTAACAGAAAGTATGCTAGAGCAAGCAAACATTCCGAAAAAAGAGAAAATTCCTGATGACCATTAGAAATCTGACAGCCATGTCGGTAAGTTATTCTTGATTTTCTTTTATGTACTTGTGGTATGTTCTCACTTGAATTTGAAAGTGATATTTTGTTCGTGACATGGTTTATTGACCAAATTTTGCAGCACGAGGTCATCAGGCTTCAGCAATTTTAACTTCCATCTGTATCCTCCTTTGTATCCTTAATCTAAATAGCTGTTACGCATATAAATATTTCAGTTGCGCTCGTTTCTTCCCTCATTCTTGCTCTGAATGGATGATAAGTTGATAACAAAACATTGTTCGTACCGGCATGGTTGTTCCTATATTCATCATGGTTTTTTTACCCTCGTCAGTTAACATCACAGTTGAGATTGTTATTTACTGCATCCTCTTGTCAGTATTAAGTACTTACATCAGTTCATTATGATAGCCCATTCTAGTATTTCAAGATATAGCGATTCCCTTTAACTGGTTGGGATGAGCACATCAGAGTGCATATTTGTAGACTTGCAATTGTGATGTCTCGCATATAGCAATTGTTAGTCTATTTAAGTCAGCGAAAACACAACCACCTTGTTAAACTCTTCTTACATGTTAATCCTGTTTCTTTACACGCTAACCTCTCTGAATTTTCTGTTGCGCTAGACTTCGCTCTGACCAAACCAAATCAAATCGACTTATATCTCATCGAAAAGACCAATCATAAAGCTCAAAAGTCCTCTAGCTGTAAAGGTTCTTGTACAAAAATGTATTATAGTTTGATCAAATAATGCTATGTAGTAGTTTAATTTCATATTACAGAGCTTTTTATCGCTGTAATTTGTTAAACTTTTGTTTAGATTCAGTTGGCAAAAGCTTTTTGTATCGTACACAGAATTTTGAAGAAAGCATCAGTAAGATGAGCAAAATTGAAGCCATTGTTACTCATCTCGGTAGCTTTAAAGATTAGCGGAATTTGTTTCAGAGTTCATCAAAGTTCATAACCAATGTTCACCAATACAAACTAAACTTTTCTTATACCCAAATCCCTAAATTCCATGCTGGTTGAATTGTACGCCTCATTTTGACTCAAAGATAACAGAAACACAGATGGATGAAAAGAAAAAATTGTAACAATAACAAATAAAAAGCAGATATACAATTTGGTATGGAAGAGTCAATGGAACAATTTAGAAACCCACCATATTAGTTGACATTGATTTCAAGTGTTTAAATATGAATTATAATTGATTTTTCACGAAAAAAATATATTTTGAAGAACATGAATACGATAGTTTGTTGTTATGATAAGATAAATAAAAGAAAAAATAACAAAAAAAAAACTGTAAAAGAAAAAAAATTGAAAACAGAAGACGGTATGAAGGTAGCGACTTCATACGAAATTAGTCGCTATCTAACTAGCGACGTATTTGAAGAAAAATCGGTAGCACCAAGCATGTGCATTTTTGTCTTAGGGGAATCAATTGTATTTTTTTTTCTAATATAGACAAGGAGTGCAAAATGAGAATTTTGAAATGCTAATAACAGTTTCCTATATATATATTTATATATAAATCCTTACCAAAGACCAGCAAGGTCATAAATGACAGAGGCCATGGTTATCAGATCTCAATCTGCAGGTTTGTTGTTGGATTGCAAAGAATAGCATCGTTATAACGATTTCTCCGTCCTCCTCCCCTCCGGGGGATGGTTCCTTTTTTTTGTTTCTTTCTACTCTGGTGCTGTAGCATACAGCAATACATGTGGTGCCATGGTTGAATTGAATGTTCTGATACCCGTATCTCTCTGCTTTGTGCTAGAATGTTGAAGAAGTTCATGAATCGTGAAGGGAAGCGCCATGCTCCATGCATCTCTATCATGTGGTATTGTCAACATGGAGAGTGACCGATGACATAACTGGATGAAGCATGGTACTGTTGCTCTGACCCTTATTTCTATGCAATAGTTTAGTTTTGCTCATGGAATGCAGTTCTGCGATGAATCGTTTCGATGAGTTCATACAAATCGGAAGCAGTGCTTGTGGGAAAGCTGGCTTCATCTTACCCCTTTGAAATATGTAGATGGAAGAAGAATGCTTGTCATGTATTCTTAGTATGTTTAATTTTGTAGAGATGATGTAAAATTGCTATTTAATATGGTAGCATTTTTTTTTTCTGCAACAACATTTTAATACTGCAACTAGCAACCATCAACAAGAGGAGCTTTTCTAACCCGATGAGTCTTATGACGGATAGCCACGTTTTTAGCCGTTTGGATTGAACAACTCTAATTACAATGAAATTTTTTCCCAAGCGATAGTGTCTGACCATCTAGCTTATGAGGTTGCCGTACTCAAATCTCTCTCCACCAAACTCTACTAATATCGCACATTTTTGTTAAACTTGTTAGCAATTAGTCAGATTAGTATGCCCGCTCTTTTACCTGAGTTAGTTAGAACAGTTTGCCTGTTCTTTTACCCTGAGTTTAAAAATAAAAATAAGAATGAAAGTTCTCCTTAGGTCATCTCCAACCAACTCGGCCAAAGGTCATAGGGCTAAAAATAGCTTAGAATGACACGAAAATCATCTCCAACCGAGGGCTAGGCCAAAGGGCTTATGGGCCCCACCAGGCCCAAACCCTCAAATCAGGCCAGTGGGTTGGCCATTTCCAACCAACCAGCCAGCCAACCCTCCAACGCCAAAATGTCAAGCTTGACAATTTGCTAGCCCTCCAGCTCCAAAATGTCAAACTTGACATTTTGCCAGCCCTCCAGCTTAGGCCCATCTAAATGCCAACAACTTTCTGCGCCAGCTAGCAATAGCTAGCTAACGTCATGCTGCCGTCAAGTTACGGTTGGAATTTGAATTTTTTTTTTTTGGACGAATTTCAAAAAAAAAAATCTAATTTTTCTTCCTATAAATATCTACATCATTCCTACAATATTGAAATATGAAAATAAGAAGTGTCACGCAAATAAGAATCTTATCTAAAATTTGCACAACCAATTACATCTCGACACTTGACATTCGAATTCCTATCCAAAAAATTATTAAGATTACATAACGATAAGAAATCTAGAGAGTTACTCACTTTAGCGACACGTGTCTCTTGAAATCCTATCCGAAAATTTATTGAGATTACATAAAGATAAGAAATCTGGAGAGTTACTTACATTAGCGACACGTGTTACTCGAAATCCTATCAAAAAAATTATTGAGATTATATAAAAATTAGAAATTGGAGGCTTATTCATTTGGTGACAAGTGGCACTCAAAATATGTCTGAAAACCTTATTTTAATATGTTAGTTTAATTTAATTAACCATATTAATTTAATTAAAATAATAAATTATATTTGGTCTCTGACCCTTTGGCTCTCTCGGTTGGAGATGATTTGTTGTCAAAGAGTTATGTATGGCCTATGACCATTTAATTTCTTCGGTTGGAGATGGTATAAAATATGTTCTGGTACTGCTCATTAAAATATAATTTCTTATAAAACTATAGGACTAAAATAAGTCATTTGGCCTTCATTCAGTTGGAGATAGTCTACTCAAAGAGTATTGTGGACTATGTGAGTAAGAATAAAAAAAAATAGAAAAAAAAAAAAAAAAAAAAAAAAAAAAAAAGAAAGAGAGCAAGCGACAGGAAAGTACATATATTGTTGAGGTTGAAACTGAATTTTGCGTCACATTCCTTCCTTCTCTTTCCTCTCAGTCACTCACACACACAAACCAAAACAAAAACAAATCCAAGAAAACATAGCATCTCTCTCTCCTCTCCTCTCTCTCTCTCTCCTCTGACAGATGAGACGATGCAGCAGCAGCCCACAATTCTCGACGCCTGTATCTCCCTGACAACGAAAACCCCATTCATCTTAAACGAATAATCAGAGCAACAGCAACCCCTGATATCAATTTTTCTTCTTCCGCAAATGGCCAGGAAAGGTGTGGTCTCCGACGAGGGAACTGTGACCGACGCCGACAAATCCACGGTGGCGGCGAAGGCGAAGGCTGTGGAGATAAAGAAGCAACTGGAGAGGCTGGTGAAGGCCATTGTCGATGAAGACGACTACAGGGTCGAGACTGCTGACGAGGCCATCAGAGCCTTGTCTTATTTGAAAGACTTGAAGTCCAAAAAGTCTCTCTCTTTCAAGCTTCACGGCGGCGGCGGCGGTACTGTAGTCATCCCTAAAGAATTCAGATGTCCCATTTCCGGAGAGCTCATGGCCGACCCTGTTGTCTTGGCCACTGGAGAGGTATCAGGTTCACAAATTTTGTTACTTTTCTTTTGATTTTTGAAATGTTCGTGGCTAATTCGAATTTGCATGCAAGAATTTCATGTTTTGAAGATTTGGATTGTTCTTAAATTTGGGATTTTCGTTGTGTTCTGGTATGAAGATTGGTTCTTTATTTTTGAAATTAGGATTTCAATTGGTTTTTCTTTGTTCTTGCATAATTTGCTCTGTGATTTCTTCGTTCTTTGTTAATTGTGTATGATATGAAGATATCTAAAACTATTATACATATATATACATACATATATACATATATATATATATATATATATATATATATATTGTAACTCATGTTGCCTTTCCTCCACTGTATTGGGAAAAGTCGAAAATTTGTTCGATCCAAAAGGAAAATTCTGTAGGTGTTCATTTGGTATACTGTAAACTGCTTGCATTGATCAAATCTGGATTGTTCGTTTATTTCCGCAAACTGTTTGCATTGATCAAATCCGGATTGTTGCTTGAATGAAACTTCTGAGATGAGATGTGATTATAAAACCTCAATGAATAAACTTTTCAATGAATAAGCGAACTTTATAAAGAGAGGGATCAGTGAGGTTTTGCTATTGTTCACGGCACCGCCAATTTTGGTAGGTACTGGCGTTGCATATGCAAAGTAGGTATATAGCAATTACGTATTAGCATTTTGTAGCGTTTATGAATCATTTAGGATCAGATCACCGCTTCTGCAAATATGGTAGCATCGCTTGCTTGCATGTCCGATGTTTTGCTTTGTTTAATAGCACCTTGAACTCATGCAGTTTCTAATATTTTTTTACGTATCTTTATTTGATTACAGACGTTTGATCGACCATTCATCCAGAGGTGGTTTAACGAAGGCCACAGAACTTGCCCTCAAACCAAGCAAGTCATCTCTCATACTGTCCTTACCCCTAATCACCTGGTTCGAGAAATGGTTTCACAATGGTGCAGGGAGCATGAAATTGAGCTTCCGAAACCTGTTCAGGATATTGATGAGCAACTTGTCACCAATGCAGACCGAGGATGTCTGAATTCACTGCTTGAGAAAATGTCATCATCTCTATCTGATCAAAAAGCAGCAGCAAAACAGCTTCGACTGCTAACAAAGCGAAGTTCATCATTTCGGGCACTTTTTGGTGAGTCTACTGAGACCATTCCGCAATTGCTCAATCCACTTTCACCGGGACAGGTTGATGCTCATCCTGATCTTCAAGAAGATCTGATCACAACACTACTAAACCTCTCAATTCATGACAATAACAAAAGATTAGTCGCAGAGAACGCATCAGTCATCCGTCTGCTTATTGAATCCTTGGAATATGGAACTGTCCAAACAAAAAGCAATGCTGCCGCAACTTTCTTCACATTATCAGCAATTGATTCCAACAAGATTACTATTGGAGCATCCGGTGCTATGAAACCTTTGATTGACCTTTTAGACGTGGGGCATCCATTAGCAATGAAGGATGTTGCTTCGGCAGTATTCAGCCTGTGTACTATCCTCGAAAATAAGGAAAGGGCCATCAATGCTGGAGCAGTCGGGGTGATTCTGATAAAGATAATGGATCATGTTTTAGTTGCCGAGTTTTTAGTTATACTTGCAATGCTTTCCAACCATCAGAGGGCTGTTCAGGAAATGTGTGAGCTTGGCGCTGTGCCTTGCTTGATTGGAATCACAAGGGAGAGCGACTGCGAGCGCAACAAGGAGAACTGTGTTGCAATCCTTTACACTATCTGTTTTGCTGACCGGACCAAACTGAAGGAAATTAAGGAAGAGGAAATGACCAGAGGTACATTTTCTAGACTTGTACAGACCGGAACTTCGAGAGCAAAGAGAAAGGCGAGTGGAATTCTTGAAAGACTGAATAGGACCGGTTCAATAACGCACACAGCTTGACAGAAATCGAACTTTTCTTCTATTTCCCCATGTAAATGTCGTATATTTCGTAGTTCGTACTATACTCCATGTATACCTGTACACAGAAAAGAGCTCACAGATTTGTACACTTAACTTGAAATTTTCCTAGGCAAAGTTTTGGTCCATTTCTAGAAATGTAAAGGCCATTGGAATTTCTCCTCTCTTTGATCACAAAAGAAATCACAACTAGTACATTTTGTTTCTCTGTGTTTTCCGGCTCATTTTTCCGATTCTCAGGGAGAACCAGTGGCATATCACACTGTTAGTATCTCTCCCGTCACGTGTTACATTTTTCGGGTTTGTGCCAGCTGTGTATTGTATTTGGCTTTTTGAAATGCCATCATAAATATAATAAGTTTCATTTGGATTTTGTGACTGAATGATGATTGTAGGGCCTCCATTGTTTCTGCCACCCTAAAATTTGAAAGTGTGTCGGCAGGTTGACCACACCAAATTGCATTATTTCGGATCTCTTTTCCTTCATAATACAATACTTAAGCAATGGATAAAGTCCTTAAACCCTAATTATGTTTGATAACGACATGTTTAGTCGGCGCTAATAGAATTTACGAACTTTAATAATAAAATAACTAACAGTTTAATGTTAATAAAAAGATAGATTAAGCGCAGAATGATGCTGAAATCTAGTAATTTGTGACTCGTTATTCCACTAATCACCTTGCCTTTCTCAGCATTACACTGTTCATATAAACAATGATTAATTAACATTTTTTTTTTTGGAAGCTATGATTAATTAACATTTTAATTAAGTATTCATCATGATTAATAAAATCTTACTGGATAAAAGCAAATATGATCCTCTCTGCCTTTCTTTTTGTCTTTGCTTTGAAATTTGTAGCCAGTAGTACTTTACTTGATGGCCTAATTTTCCAACTACCTCTACATACCAGTGACTGATTTTTTTATTTATTTTATTTTATAATTAATTGGCCTTCCGCATGCTTAAAAACTCTGGTTGGCCACAACACTACAAATATTTAATTATTATTTTAAAGCTTCTTAATTTTGTTTATCCACTTCTTTAAGTAACTCTGAAACGTGAATACAGGAAAGGTTTTTTTGTGTACGGCATATGGACACATACAACGTATATCATTATACAAGTAAAGAAACACTTTAAACAAAAAAAAATCTATCCATTTGTTTAATAATACATAGCGTACTGCTTCGTGTTCAAAGCATATCAAAAAACCTATTGAATACAAACCTTTTTTTTTTGGGTCTGATAAGCAATATTATTATACTAAAGGAAGGAAAGATGATTTGAACTCACAGCATTCGGAGTCGAAGAGCCTTATCTAACATGATGGTGGAGTGTGACTGGGGAATAATTTAGTTGAAAAGAAAACTGCGAACTGAACTAATTTTGTTAATTAAGTATGATTAGTTATAAACCCTGCTTATTAAGTTGTGTAATTGTTGCTTTATGGTTAACAAATATCAACCTTCCAAAACTTGTCGCTTGATATCTTTCTATGGCTAATATATATTTGTTCACTCAATATATACTATTAGGAAGAACTGATTTTGAAAGTAATACTATTATGTATATCTGTACAAAGATGAAATTTGGTTTCATAGTGCAGAGAAATTCTAATGTCCGCCCGTCGGACCATGCGACCATGCCGAGTTGGTCCTACCCTTGCATGAGAGTGTTAGTCGTACACCAGAACTTCTCCTTAATATGATGCAAAGAAAATATGAATTTCCAAATTCTTACACATCAGGAAAAGGGTGGTGTTATCTACACACTTTTTTTTTTACCTCTCACACACTCCTATCAATTTTCGGATCCATTCGAATGAATTGAAAGATACTAAATAACAGAAATTAACAGAATGTATGTAGAAAATAAAAACGGATATGTGGATAAACACTCTTGAAAAAATGCAATCCACATTTCACTACAAGACATGATAAATTCTAGAGGACAACTCGTATCATGCAGCCCTTGATGGTGCCATTTGCTGGTCCTATCCCATCTTTGCTGAAAAAAACAAATGTTCATCAAGAATCTCTGAACATTCTAAAAAGATGAGATGCAGGAATCGAATTTCCCCCATGATACTTGGAAGCCATGGATTTAGATTCCCCCAAAACGCTTATTACTGGCTTCAATTTCTTCAGATTTGGCATGTAATTTGGCAATAAGATATTTGATGGCGTTATCAAATCAAGACAGTTCTTGTGCTAAATAAGATCGCATGAAGTCGAGTGTGATCAGAATACAGTGAAGTTTCATAATTTTGTAAAATGTCCTACAAATAATGTAGTCGAAAACCATCGTTTCTTTTCTAGTTTCTAATATTTTTTTGCTTTCGGTTGAGTGAGGGAGTGGTCCTAAAGGCTAAAACCTTGAAGGAGGAAGGTGGTGGGGCTAGCAACTTTTTCGGTTTGACAAAGAAATGCCACAAGAAGAAGATGGACCATGATTAAGGAATTGTTTAATGAAGCTTTAATCCATGCTTAAAAGAATGTTTATGATAATGAAACCCCCTAAATCAACGGCCTAGACTTTTTAGATCCCTTGTCTGCTGGTGTCTTTTTACTGCCTCCAAAATATATGGACTTTGGAAAATATCAAAAGTAAAGGTGAAGACCATTTCTCCAATTTCCAAACAAAGAAAAACAAGAAAATAGTGGGGCATCCAAAGAATATTTTATTCCTCATTCAAAGTTCTTTCTTATCCAACAAATTCGAACCTATGTGCATAAGATGGAAAAGTCTTGAGTTGAACCGAAAATATCACTATTTAAGCGTTTTACTTGTTGTGCGATCAGATTGTGATATGTGAGACATTTATATGAGGATATATTTCTGGTTAGAAAGTAAAAGCTCTCGTGGACATCGTGGTTTACATAGTGGTCTACAGTTCATAGTTGGGGGGACCAAGATAGAGAAGAAGGCTAAATTGGTATATAACATAGTCAATGGCATCTCAAAGTATCTTCAATTGCTTAACTACCAATAAGCTTTTTGCAAATAGAAAATTATCGCCTGCTGAATGAGATTCTTACCTACAATCAGGAATACATTCGATAAGTCTATATAACTCATCATGTAAGAAGATATATGTCTGGTGACACTAAAACATTTCTCCAAGCATTGAGTTCTTGAGGAAACAGTTTGGGTAGCGATTGTTGTAGACTAATGAGAATATATCCTCGATGACACGAGAGAATCTCTCTGGAACTTTGAGGCCTTTTAAGGACAGGCTTCAATGGACAGAACTATTGGACGCCACAGTTGAAGGGTTAAGCTCGGGACAATTCAATTGGGTAAAAAGTGGAACAGAAAGCCCAAGACAAGCAAAAGGAAGCCCAACTCAATTTTGAGGTATGGAGAAATCTAAAGATTCTTGAAATGCCCAAAATTGGGCAGCCACAGAAACATAAGATCCAAAGTGGCGATCCCCAAAGTCCACAAAACACCAGAAAGTGAATAAATACTTGTAAAGTGCAATTGTGAGTTAGACCAGTTGTTCAATATAATATGACCGGCTATTTACATTCAATTTCAAATTCCGTCTTCTATTAAAAACAGATTTAGAATATCGTTTTGTCAAGAGAAAGACGTCCGTACTCAGAGCTAACAACTGGAAGTGGCAGTGACCCATGAGGGCCATCCCTCAACTAATGATTATAAATCAAACAGAGAAACAAGCTTCATATCATATATCAGTATTTTTTGGCTTTCAAATCATTGATGGTTAAATTCTTGGCCACACATCTAACTCTTCATTGCTGTAATACTTGTCATGCACCCCTTCAATATCAGAGGGACAAATTAACTTGGCTTCTCCCTTCAATATCAGAAACACCCCTTCAATATCAGAAACACAAGTACTTCTAGATTAAGAGCTAGTTTGTTTGATAAACTCGGACATTTCGAAAATTTTCATTTCTTAAATACAAAATAGATAGATAACAAAGTTACAAATGAGGGGAAAATTAAATAAGGAAGTCACAATTTGGCACTAACATCTAATTTTCAACTCATTCATAAGCTTGGTTCCATCTTAGCTAGCTACAAGAACAATAATTAACACATGTTGAAGAAAACAACACATATAAAGATCGCCAAGGCACTTGAGTTTTTCTGGTCTCTAGGCATTCTAATTCCTATGAGTTTTGAAACCCCTCTTGCTTCATGAAGCACAAGCAGGCACCAAGCAAGCAAACAATCCCAGCATTTTCTTCTGCAGAAAACAAAAATTCAAAAACAATTAAAAAAAATAAACAAAAAGGTACGTAAAACAGTAAAAGTGACAAGATTGACAGCCATTTCAATTTTCAAAAGAGTTGAGATCCTCTTCCCATTTTTGTATCTAGAGCAACCGAGTTAGGAAATTCAGACCGTTCAAGAGAGAGAAATTCAGACCGTTCAAAGATTTTGTTTTCTGTGAGGTGGATCAGTAAAATGGACTAATGAAGACCGTATAATTTAAATTATGCGGTCCAAATTTCTTAATTCAGTTATTTCGAACACAGAGAAGATCCAAAGAGGATCTCAACTCATTCCAAAAAGACCCCAAAAGTGTTAAAATTATATACAAGACAAAGTAAGTAGACAGTCACATCATCATGCATGATAGTTTTGAATTTCAGAGCAACGGAGGTCATATTTTCAAACTGATCATGTGAAACTCAGTGCATGATGGACAACTATTTTTCGCTAATTCTCAGTACCATGTTGAAAATTGAAACACTACTATGTCCACGAGTTTAACTGTCCTGCAAAATGTTTCACAAAAATTCTAATATGTTTCAATGTATAAAATTTTCTACCATGTTTGAGAGTAAAACTCTCACACAACATATTCGCAAAAATTCAACTATGTTTCAGTGTATAAAAATTCATATCATGTTCGTTATTTGCGATAAAAACTCTCATCTAAGTTCCACAAAAATTTTACTATGTTCCGGTGTATTTTATATTTATAAAATGTGGAAATTATACCCGCTTGGTAGTGTGGAGGAGCTCAGGGGGTATCTTGTAGAGATCTTCGTCGACAGGCTTGGGTCTTGAAACGGTGTCGTTCTTGTGGTGGTGGAGGTGAGTGCGATTGGTTTGTTGAACATGGAGTTGACTGTGATAGGGCTTAGTTGGCGGTTCCGTCACGTCACAGACTTTTGTCCCCTTCGATTGCTGCCTCTTTTGCTCCATAACATGCGCACGCTGCCCTCGCTTTTCCCTCCCTACCCCACCACCACCACCACCTCCTCCTCCGCCTCCTCCTCCTGTTGCCTGCACCAATAAATATACCGTTTCACTATCACATATTATATCATCATTTAATTAATTTCATCAACTACTCTCTCAGACATTTAAATGATGCATAAGCTAATGTGTGACAATATCATAAATATGAGAGGTGTTACGGAGGGAAAGGGATCCTCTCCGGGTCCCTTCCACCTAAACCTTCTCATCAAACAATTTAAATCTTTAAAATTTAAACCAACTACTCAAGTTATTATAACTTTTAAAATGAACCCCTGTTTTTAGTCGTTGGATCAAATTTCAAATGCTCGGATTGTTTGATGAGAATGATTAAATGGAAGGGATCCGGAGAGGATCTCTTTTCTTCCGTTACAAAGTACTCAAAACACCGCCAAATGATGCGTCGATTTTAGTGAAAATCACAACATTAATCTTTGTTTTTTATATTAATATCTCATAAAATTGAAATATATCAACTACGTCACCTATTAAAGTTAAAATACATGAAAAGATACTACTGGTCACATAAAAATTTATAGTAAAATAGGCATCATGCTTTTGGAAATGAGCTAGCTCACCTAAGCTAGCTAGCTTATATAATTAGCTCAGAGGTGTAAATAATTAGCTTCTAAAGTCCTTTACCAAAAATAATTGCATATCACTCATAAAGATTCAATCACTCTAAATTTCTAGACAATGTCAATCTAATTTTGGAAATAATTTCCTTTTACAATCACTTGTACCACAAATACCCAAATCACATTACCAAAAATGCAAAGGGAATGAAAAAGAAAAGCAAAAATGCTCAAATTAAATCATAAATTAAAGAAAAAGCAAAAATATTTACAAAAATGAAGATGTAGGGGGATGAAATTAATGTTCGAACCTTTGGAGGAGGAGCAACGTTGCGAGAAGGCTTCTTGAAGTGATCGACAGGAACAGCATACAAGTCAGGGCGCATATGATCAGTACTCTCGCCGGAGGAAGAGCTGAATCTGATCAAACCAGCTTGTCTTGCACACTCGAAATACTGAGTGATTGGCAGTTCGTTTGCATAATCCCAGTCCCCAAACGCCGGAATCTGCCCACTCCTCTTGTAATAGTCCTGAATCACCACCATCCAAACACAAATCAAAACATTAAAAACCAAACAATAAGAAGAAGAGAAAGGTTACTGAGAAAATGGGTGAAGAACTTACATCCATTGTGTTTGTGGGTCAGTTGCAGAAAATGGGTTTTGCAGAAAAGAGCAAGAACCCAATTAAAAAGATCGGGTTTTGATTTGTGGGTTAGTTTCAAAAACTGGTTTTTTTGCAGAAAAGAACAAGAACCCAATCGAAAGATTGGATTTTGAATGCAAAGGTGAAAGAAAGATGGCAAATTTAAAGGGTGGTGTGTTGAGATTGGCAGTGAAGAAACTAGGAGTTAAAAAGGAGGGGGTGTGGGAGCAAAAAGGTGAAAGAAGCTATGGAGAATCCTAAGGAAAAGTCAGAGGAATAAATTATGGTCAGTGTTAAAGAGAGAGAATCTAGGAGGAGAGAGAGCGAGATGATCTCAAAGTTGCTTTCCTTTTACTAGATTTATAGCATCCAGAAGCAAAGGCTCCGAGCACGAAAGATAGGTTATTTGGGTAGGCAATGGCAGCCCTCAGGGCCTTGTTTTTGGGGATGGCTACTGCTTCTGCTTCTGCATCATATGTTTACAGTTGCGCCACACACTGTACACACTTGAGAGAGAGAGAGAGAGAGAGAGAGAGAGAGAGAGAAAAGGAATGGATGAGATGGTGGTGGTGGTTGACAATTTAATCAAATTCCTCAATCTAGTAATGCCACATTTCAACCATGCCTGATTAAAAGTTGGTTTTTTTCACCTCCTCGGTTCACGCGGTCGACAGGTGGGCCCCAGAATTTCCAGGTTTTCCCACTTGAAAACCTAAAAAATATCTCTCTCCTGAGAAAGGTGAATTTTTTTTTTTCCTTTCGACTGTTTGCAATGCAGAAGCCTAGCTAGTACCTAGTCTAGTGGTTGCAACTGTGTGACCAAATGTATGGCCCAAAGTTGCAGAAGTGCTTATGAATAATATATGTAGTTAGGTCTGCTGCCAAACTTTGCTTATTGCTACTACTGTGGGAGGCGAGGATTATTGGGTGGTTTTAGTGGTAAAAAGTCACTTTTGGAAGAAGTACTTTTCGATAAGTCACGCCCACCATTTCGGGATCGTTGTCCGTTTCCCAGCATGAATCCAGCAAAACTACTTCAACAGGACCTGTCATATGGATTGTGAACAGAAAAACACGATGAACCCTAAAAATACCAAGGGGAGATATAAATGGTATTTGATTATGCATACAGATCACTATGCCTCTAGCAAATGAGATATGTTTAGGAATGCACGTATTACATGCTTATGTGTATAATAACGGATTATACTCAAATAAACTAACTAGGAAGCTTTAATTTAGCTCAATTTTTACATGCTTATGGGAATAAATACCTGTTATACACATATGAATGTATTTAAGAACACTTTTATTTTTTATACATTTCTCGAAATTCGAAAAAAGGATAAACAAATGTTTTATATACATGTTCGTACACCTCAAGTTTAGGGGTTTACCGGTCTCGTATTTCACTAGCTATTATTTTTTTTTTTTCCAATTCCACTAGCTATTATTGAGTATATTGATATTGGATGACAATGTTCTATAAACATGTATGCATGTAACCATTTTAGGGTGTGTTGTTTGCCATCATTAGTCTTTACTGGACTTGATTAAGAGTTGGTGTAATTTTGAATTTTTCACCCTTAAAAATTAGCTTTAATAGAATTAAAAGAAACTCGTCTAGACTAAAGAGTTTGCTAAACGGTTTTAGCAAGACCACCCTCCCTCCCCGCTTCTTTCTTTCTAATCCTTCTTTCTAATACTATATTAGTCATGTATTTAGTCAAACTTCAAGTGAGAATAAGTATTAAATAAACAAATGTTTTATACACATGTACGCACATATTCCACTTACTAACTTTGTTTTAATCGAACCATAAGTGAGAATTAATATTGGATGTACAGATGCGGTGACATATATTTCGATAGACACAAGTCATGATCCTCGGAGAATACTGTTTTCAATTAATTAACAAACTCTACTTAACTGGCACCAGCAGCAACAGTTAAAACGGGAAATTAATTGGAGGAGAATTCTCTACCCTCTTATTTCCATTCTCTTTCATCCCCTCCTCTTATATATTACCTTTTGTCTTATTATCTCTATAAAAAAATCAATATAAGATGTTAACGTGACCTAACCGTGATCGTTCAAATAGGAGAACATGGAATGGTAAAAAGATTAAAAGGATAGAGAATCCTCCTTCAAATTAATTAACATAAAAACGTATGGTCAAAATCACAGAAGACCGAATCACGTGAACAAAATCCAATTTAAAATACCAACTTACAGCACCAAATTCCAGAAAATTCATGTGAACGTGCCTTTGAATCTGCATGTGTGATTACAGAAACATCCTCAAACGCCATTGCTATCTGCCAGAGTTTTCTTAACGTCAACCGCGGCAGGAGAACGCGAGGGGATCCAAGAATCGCTGCCATCGAGGAGCCTAAAAGTTTTGACGCCCTTTTGTCTTTGTAAAACTATGGGGTCTTTTGATATGATCCAATTTGACTAAAAATTGTATCTATTTCAAAAAATAAGCTATAAAATTAGACATCTTTCAAAATTTTCTTAAAACTATTAGTATAATTAGGGTTTCAATGTTGAAAAAAGCTTTGTTGTTGCTGGTGTAAAAAGAGTGATTGTCAACAACTTTGACTCCAAGCTGTAAGGCTTACAAATTTAGCTAGCAGTGTTAAAGATAACTGACGTGAGTCAAATTAAACCGTGTATTTAGTATTTTCTAAATCATTCACCTTCTGTGCAGAAGAAATGCTATTGCTAGAAATATGTTTATCTTAAACACTAAAATTGTGACAACATTAACTAAACGGTTAAACGATTTATGATTTAGTTAATTGTATGCAGAGTTAATCTTAAATAGTGACTTAATAAGTAAATTGTTCAGATCGTCAAGTCATATCATACGTTTAAGGGAGATCGAGAAAATAGAACAAGAAAGTTCGAATGAAATGAATTGCGAGCATCCCCATGTATTTACACGCATATTATATTATCCATGCATGTGCAATTGACTATTTAGCAACACAGATCAGGAAGCACAGCAGGATGCCACGAGTAACACACTGTGGAAAGCAGACGTGCTTAGCTAAGAGTCTCGAGTCTTGACCATGGGTCCATGGTATGTACAGAGGAATGGAGGTAGAGGGCGCCTCTGGGGCTCCACGGTAGGTAGAAGACGACCCGAGTGGGTTAAAGTCAACAGTATATATCACATATTCCAGTGTAACCTGTGTAAGTAGGGCAGTGTAGGTGATCTGACACACACATGATACATGTCCTCTTGCATTTTCTTGCTAGAGGACGTTAGCAACCGACCAAAGAGTTAATAAATAGGCCAAAACAGAAGAACGGAACACGCACTTTTTGGTAAAAGCCTCAACTTATTCATATAAAGTTCGTTTAGATGTACTTTTAAAATGACTGAAAGTACTTTTGGTGAAAATATTTTTGACAACAATAATTGGTAAAAATATTAGTAAATTCTGGAAAAACACTTAAAATGTTTCCTGTGAGAAGCACATAACTGATGATTCTTATAAAAATCACTTAAAATGCTTTTGGAATCCAAATTTTTTTTATCTAAAAGAGTTTTTAGTCATTTTAAAAGCATATCCAAATGAACCCATATTAAGGATGAAAAACTTGGGTAGGTTGTCGAACATGAGATCGATTTGTATAAAATAGTTTATTGTTATGTGATATTTTAATCTCACAATATAAGTCAAATATATTATGTGGGATGCCTATCACAAGATCACGTCATTTGTGAGGTACTAATTCTTGTAAAAGTATGAGATTTTTCTATGCTTCTTTCTATAGGATTGTGGTCCAATAGTAAAATGGGAGAGAGACTTACAGACACTCTTTGTAAAACTATCATGACATTCTAATCAATAACACGATGTAATGTATGAAAAACACTTTGACAATTATGTTCTTAGTTGGAGATGCCACAATGGCAAAATACATAATATAGTCCTTCTCCTAAATTAGCATTCTTTGCTGAAAATATGGGTCTCACTTTTCCTCAAAATTTTAATCTATAGTATTCATAATTAAATGTATCGTTATATTATTAAGAGATAAAAGAGAAGTAGTCTATACGTGGACAAGATCACGTCACTTTTTCATTAATGTATCGTTGTATTAAAAGATTTTAAAAAGTCATGTATACATACTCACATTATAGATCTAACAAGTTGTGCACCATTTTCTCTCTATCTATCACGTGAGGATAAAGTCGGAAACAAAACGGTACACACCTTGTTGCACGTAAGTTTCTCTCGAATGGAATCGAAACTATAGCTGCAAATAGCAACCCAATTATAAAACTTTGGGCTACCGACACTAAGTGAAATGGTTGGGCCACCATTGTTTTGAATTGTTTTGGGCTTCTTTGTTTTAAAAAAAGTCATATTTTCATTTGTTGCATTGGGCTTGAATTGTTGCTTTATCAAAACCTGTGGGATGTGATTAGGTCCATTTGATAAATGTTTCGCTGTTGGTTTTCAGTTACGTAAGTACAAGGAAGAACTGAGAGATGATGAATGGTACGGTAGAGAGGGAAAGAAATAGAGTAGACGTGAATACAAAATCTTAGGAGTAAAACAACTCAAAATAGTTTTCTTTTTGGTTCGTTATTCATTTGTCAAGAATTTCAGATAGATAAGAATGAGTGAAAATAAAATCTTGAAAGTAAAAACAACTTACTAGTTTTCTTTTTGGTTTGTTACTCATTTGTCACGAATTTCAGATAAAGATGAATGAGTGAAAACAAAATCTTAGAAGTGAAAACAACTCAAAATAATCTATTTTTTTTGTTCGTTACCCATTTGCCAAGAATTTTCTTGTTCAAATGATTAAAGATGTATACTATGTCACAATCCTCCCTTCCCACAGCTAGGGTAAAATTCATGTTCTTTCAAATTTAAAATTACGAAAATGTGAATTGGGGACCATAATGTGAAGGTAAAAGAGTCTCAAATTGGTAAAAGAAGAAACTTTACAAGGGCTTATAAGAGGTTGAGCTATTCCATATATTTGTTTTATGGTAGAAGTTCAACTTTCTTCATGGTATCATAGATAGGTTGACCCACGTATGAAGCCCAACCTCACACGTGCTCCATGTCACCCACTTCGTGTTGTTCACGTGTTTGGCTTGAAAATTTATCACATGTGCTCCACGTCGCCCAATTCATGTTGTCCACATGTTTGGCTTGGAAATTTGGCACATAAAGAATGTATACAGAGAAGAGAACCCTCCGGCAAGGTTTGTCGCAGAACAGTATACATAGAACCCTCCACCAAGTTGTCACCAGAAAAAGAAAAAAGAAAACCCCCTCCACCAAGTTACCACAAAAGTTGAAGATGAAGAAGAAAAGGTGGGAACTTCTATAAAACCTCACAAGGCAATGCACAGAGTAAGGCTACCCCAATTTGTTCTCTTAATCATTTTTTGATCTCTCAAGTTTTCAACTTTCTAGCTGCCTCTCTGGGTAGTTATTTCTGGGAATGCTTAGCTCCTTCTTCTCTCTCTCTGCTTATAAAATCCTCCCCATTAATTATTTGATCTTCTTTATATAATTACTTTGAATGTTTATTTGCTTTGTTCTGTATTCATATCAATTCGAAGCTATGTATTTTGCTCCAAGAATGTGATCAAAGTAACCCAGTTGATCAATTTCTCTGGAAAGAACCCTACCATGATCAGATTTCCACTATATTAGGCGAACCCTTTTTGTAATTTTTGTAAATTTTCTGAATTCGAATGAAAGGATTCAACTTTCTTCATTTTCCTCAGCAACCAAGCAAACCAACAAGAATTAACACTTCAACAGGCTGGATTTTCTTAGAAAGAACACTTATTGCTACATAGATATGATTGCTCTGTTTTAAAGCCTCTTTTCTTTTTGATTTTCGGTTGTTGCTCTGTTTTAAAGCCTCTTTTCTTTTTGATTTTCGGTTGCCCTTACTTTGATCCTTTGTTTTTATAGGCATAAGTGCTAGTTCTGCAATGGCTTACGTTCCACCACACAGGCGGCACTCGAAGGAATCAGAGAGGCCATTGCTGACTCCAGAGCTGCTTGCTCCTCAATCCAAGAAAAACTTAATTATCAAGCCATATAATAAGTCTAATGTGGGATGGACTGGAGATACAGTTTATGCAGACCATTCTATATTTAGATGGTGCGCCATCGGTTTGGACGACGAGAACCAGTTTCCATCTTCTGTTAATCTGGAGCCCGTTTCCTTGGAGTCTGCTGATCTGAATTTTGGAAAAAATCGTGTAGTTCTGATCAATACCAGTCTAATTAATGGTTAGAACCTCAATATTTCTTTTAGTGCGGTTATCTTATAACTTGTTACTTGGGTTATGGATTTGTGAGGATGATACTTTACAGAAGGCGGTGAGGTGAAATGGAATTTGCCAAGGAGCCCTTGGGAATCTATAACAGAAAATGTGCTGGAAGACTTACTTTCGACATTTAAACACGTGAGGAATGAAATGAAGTCTGCAAAGCTCAAAGAAGTACATCCATTTTTGGTTGCCAGAGTGGGGAAAGTACTCTTTCGCAGGTTAGATTCCCTCCTTATCTAATCCATTGGTTAGCTTTTGAGCCTCTTGTGCCATTCATTAACTTGATTGTGTCATGTGATTATTCGTATATAACTACTCAGTTGTACATGAGCAGATGAAAGACAATTTTTTGTTGAAATCTTTATATCAGGAGCGCTTCAGTTAACATGGAATCCATCAGAAAAAAATTGTGTACTGAAATCTTGAAACAACAGAACCGATTATTTTACATAAACACTCCTGTTTCATAGAAGGAAAAGATTGTGAACGAACTTGTCCCTAAAATTGGAGTTGATTTCGAAGAGGAGGAAGATATATACGAAGTACAGGTATTTCTTTTAGACACATCAACTTACTGAGTTCTGAGTTCATGTTTTCCAGAATTCTGACTGTAGCTATTGAATTGCTCATTTATTTTCTTCTTGTATAGTTGTCTGATTGTACGAGTCCAGATTCAACTCTCTTCTGCAGATGTCGGGTAATTAAAGAAGAGGGAAAGCTAGAACTCTGTGAGGCGAGTTTTCTAATTCATGCCAACTTGAAACCGTATATGTTGCATCAATATCATGATTGAGTTGCCACGATATTGATTAGATAATTTAGATATAATATATTATGCTGCAAAATATGAGTGTTGTATAACAAAACCCTCCAATTTTTTGAAATAATTCATGAGGAGCCTTTCCAGATCGTTAATATTGTCCAGACTCTTCCCTCTCTTAATTTTCCCTGTTGCTTGGCTTAGGGTTCGCATCCTGAGACTTACATCGAAATGTCAACTTTGTTTCAGATCCAATCGAATCGAGTGCGTAACATGGTAGTGGACATTTCGTGCACTACTAAGAATCTGGACCTGAGTCTAGTGCTATACACGAGGAGACTCGCAACTAATCTGACTGTAAGCTGCTTCACCCAATCCTTTAGAAATTTACACTTTTAATCGTTATTTTAGCAAAGATATTAATTATGACCTATATTTATCTTCAAGCCACAATCAAAACAAAGAATAGGACTTTTTTCTAGAAATGTAACGGGACGATATGGGTTAACCATACTGGATCCCTGGCTGAACTTATGCTTCTTGGAATGAAGTTTCGTGATGTTTGGTCGGAGATACCTTTGTATGGTATAGCAAGCAGTTTAGCTACTTTGTATAAATTTGCCAGCGTGATTACAGTTTCGAGGGTTAAAATCTTAAAAAAAAAAAACGATTTAATTGTTGCTATTTCAGGATGATAAGATGCGAAGCATTTCGGATCTGATTAATTCTGCGATTCTAGTTCCAGACGAGAAGGGTGGATTGAGATGGCCCCAGGGGAAGGAGTCTTCTGGAAATAAATACAAAGTTGTTAGGGTTTGGCACATAATAGCAAATACGTATAGAAATTCATCACTGAGACTGGAAGTAAAACACACTGATCGATTTGATTTTAGAACCTTAACTGGGGGAGCTTCTTGGGGGACAAGTCTGGTACTGGAAAACGTCATGTCAAAGTTACAGGTAAACGCTGCCTTTTCTCTGGGACAAATTTTTTTCAGTTCATGTGCTGAAATTAAAGATTTGGCTGAAATCTCCTTTTCTTTCAATTTTCAGGAAGAGAATGTCGAAGCCAGCTCAATTTCTGAGATACTCAAGGAAGATATGCAGTTGATATGGGATAACTTCTTAAGCTGTGAACCTTTTCTGACAGGAAATTGCATTGTAAATCAGTGATCACTGTCTTTCTATGCGACTGTACATCTGTCTACATCCCGAGTTTTATGTTCAACTTTCGGCATCCTTTGATGAATAATGAGTAGCTGTTTTAATGTTTCTAGCAATTCAGTTTGTATCTGGCACTGTTGATGGTTAATGACGTTTTTGAGATTTTACATTTCGATGACTTGATTGGTTTCTTTCTTCTAAGACAATTCTAGCCGTACATCTCTGGTTCGAAACTCCCCTCTCCTTGCATTATTATAGTAGTTTCGAACTCTCACCCCTTTCCCTAATAATAGTAAAAAAATTTATTTAAAAAAAAAAAGTTTGTTTTTCTTGTTAGACAATTCATTAATTTGCCATGCATATGTCTAACTTGACTTAAATATGCAAGTATAACTTGACTTAAATATGCAAGTATTGAAGAATGTTGAAGCCCACATCGGAAAACTGACGGATTCAAATACAACTTACAGTGAATGGATATGCAAATAAATGCATCGAAGCCTTTTGTGTAAAATCTCACAGCTCAGGGTAAAACTTTGACCGAAAGCATATATCAGTTGAATATCAAAGTGCACAACGAATGAGACTAACAAAATAAGAATATTATTAAACTAATTAAGAATGCCGAAGCGGATACAAAACCCTAAGAGGCTACATTGTGACTAGCTTATTCTCAACTGAATAACAAGCATGCTATTTATAATAAACTAACACTAACCCTAATGCTAACAGGCCAAGCCCAAACTAAAATTATAAGAAAACCCAAACAATATAATACCTAAAATACTAATATTTTCCAACACCCCCGTCAAACTCATGGCGGTATACGACATGAGTTTGCAAACAAGCAGATGCGGACTGGCTCTGTTAGGCGGACTAGCAGGCATGCAAACTTGACTTGACTTGACTGACGAACTTGTAAACTTGACTTGACTGGCGAACTTGCAAACTTGACTTGACTTGATTGGCGAACTTGACTTGATTCTTGACTTGACTGACAAACTGGCAAACTGGTTCTTGATTCTTGACTTGATTCTTGATTCTGGCTGGCAAACTGGCTAGAGTTGAGAGTATGGAAAGAACCCGTCACTAAACGGACGAGATTTCTATATCTCAATTGTAGCAATGAACGAACAAACACAACTATCACTCGAGTGGGCCTAAAGCAAACTTAACCATTTTTTTTTTCTCTGCCCGTGTGGGCCTAAAGCAACAACAATTTTTTTCTTTCTCTTGGGACTTTTTCGAATGCTTTCCTCCAACAAACGACGTAACTTTTTCTTGCATTGGACAACAGTTTTTGTTTTTCTTTCTTTTCTTTTTTTTTTAAAATTTTTTCTTCTTTCTGGACTGACAATCTGGAAGTGTATGCCATACACCTTCAGTATTGGTGCGGCGGCGGTGCGAACAAACAACAACAAGCGGGTGGTTCTAAGGCAGCGGGTACAGCAGTAATGTGGTGGATCGATCAGATCGGTGGGTCGGGTTGGGGTTGCAGGCAACAGTCTGGTGCGGGTCGAGAGGGGTGCGGGTCGAAAGGGGTGCGGGGATGCGAGTTGTTGCAGCGGCGGTAGATCATGCAGGTGATGGTGGGTGTGGCCGACGAGTGATGCTGTGAAATGGTTCACATGCGGACGACGGGGGTATACTTGTACGAAGGCTGGTGGCTGGTGGGGAATGGGTTTCGATGCAGGTTTGAGATTTGGGTTCAACGCAGAGTGGCTCCCGAGCAGACAGATTCAAACAACAAAACCCTAACTAAAGACAAAACTGATACTGAACAGATAGACAAACAAATCGATATCAACCCCAAAACAGATTAATTCTTGAAAGATTTAACCTGCTCTGATACCAAGTTGAATATCAGAGTGCACAACGAACGATACTAACAAAATAAGAATATTATTAAACTAATTAAGAATGCCGAAACGGATACAAAACCCTAAGAGGTTACCTTGTGACTAGCTTATTCTCAACTGAATAACAAGCATGCTATTTATAATAAACTAACCCTAATCATAATGCTAACAGGCCAAGCCTAAACTAAAATTATAAGAAAACCCAAACAATATCATATATACTAAAACTCAAACCCCCTGATCACTGTGGATGACCAGTGTGCAGACGTTTTTGCCCCTCCGTTTTTCCTCTGTTTCTGTTGCTGTTTCCATCACGTTTCTGTACAGCGAAGTGTCGGATTTACCCTTTCTGGCCACGCGTCTCTCATCGCTTCACCTTCTGTTTCTCGACTCTTCTACTTCATTCCACGTTTTTCCATTTGTGTTCACTTCTCTCTCTCTCTCTCTCAAATCTCTGCTTCCGTCGCACTCGAAGTCCTTCTGTCGCTCTTCTCTTTCTAAAATCCATCTAAAAAAATGTATAATGGGTATTGTTTCTCTCTGCAGGTTACTCGAAGAAGTCTGTGAGGGGTCAATAGGAGAAGGTGGATTGCGTTTCAAAGTGCAAAAAATACAGGGCATGCATCTTTATGCGTTTCCAATCTTCCAAAAATCGTGTTCGTGGAGGCGATTTGAGACGGATTTGAAGCTCGGCTACAGAGATTTTATTCAATTTGGTGGATTTGGGTAAGAAACTAAGAAACCCTAATATTTTCTTTTGGTTTTAAGAGAACTAAGCAGATTTTTGCGTTTGGATTGATGGAAATCATTCGAGAAAAGATTCTTGGAATTCTTGATCGTTTGGTGAAATAAGCAGAATTTTTATTTGCCATGTTTATTTGTATTGTGAATCCGATGGGGGATGGCTATGAAATAAGCAGAATTTTTAATATTTGATGTGGTTCGGTTTTTGGTTTCAGAAATTTGTACCAATTTGGTTTCGATTGGAATTTCTGGGCTCATCTAATCCAACGTTTCCAGGTGAGAAAGTTGCTTAAATTTCGATTTTTAGATTGATTTGAAGGAATTTCTTGCCCAGAAAAGCTAGGGTTTCCTGGTAAGTTTTTCAAGTCTTTCATCTTGGGGGTTTTGTTTTGTTCAAATATGGGGTTTTGTGATTTTGGATTTACAAATGGATTGAAATTTCGATTTCACCTCCCACTCGGAACCTGATACTCAGTCACCTTTAGAGCAGCTTCCTTCTCTCTTTTTCTCCAACCATGGTTGCTGATCCACAGGGCATCAAGGTGAGTTTTATTTTGGCCATATTTTTTAGATTTTTTCTGTTTGGTAGCTTAGAAAATGTGATCCCATGTTTTAGTTTTGGTGTTTTTGTGATTTTCGATTCGTAGGTTTTCAGATTTGATGGCGTTTGTTTCTGTGCTCAAGGTAAGCAATTTAAACTTCTGGGGTTATTCAATTCAAAGTTTTCAATTTATAATTTAGTTTAGTTTTTTATAATCGGAGTTCAGTTTGGTATTTCGTTTGCATTTTGATTATATTGAAATGTGAGTTTCTGTTTGGGTTTGATATTTTTCCTATATATCGTGATTGAGTTGTGGTCTTAGAACTGAGTGTAAGAGACATGTATGTTTGGTATCCAACTAAGTTGGACAACCAAACCAATTGAAATAAAGTAGGATGTTTTTAATGATTTGAAGAACTGAGCTGCACTACATGAGCATCTGCTGATAATGTATGACCTTCTTTTGATGCTTTCCAGTTCAATCAAAGCAAATTAGACAAAATCATGAATTAATTAAATGTGGTGTCTTCCTTTCTCCTCTGTTTCTTTTGCTGTTGGGTGAAAGTGAGCATGGGTATATGATAACCTATTTAAAAGGAAAGCTGGAGAGAGAGAGGGTAATAAAGTAGGTCTATACAGGGACCCAGAAGTCAAGGCATACTGACAGAGAAAAATACACAGATTGGTATGGTAAAAATGAAAAGAAAGTTTCCCCTTTCCTTTTATTAGTTTTAGGGTTGGGTCGAACCCAATAGAATATAGAAAATGAAGTGTTAAGGTGAGTTGATGTCGATTTTAGATATGTAATCGGTGCGTAATCAATTTTGAATACAGCATGTGGAACACTTTGAATTCAGGTCGTCTTTTTTTTCCCTTTTTTCTTTCTATTTATTTAACTTCTGATTGGCTGCTTTATTTGTTTTTCCAGATTATATAATTTAATCTTCTCTAAAAACTTCTGTGTCGTCCACTGTCATCCGCTTCCGCTCCTTGACTCGCTTGATTTTTAGTTTTCGGACTCTGATTTTGTACATCGACCCCACTTAGTGGGAAAAGGCTTTGTTGTTGTTGTTGTTGTTGTACTCTGATTTTGTACATGTGTTAGCAATTGATTGCCTTCTTTTGGAAAAATGCTAATCGAAAACTGAATTTGGATTGTATGATTAGTGGTTTTTGTTCTTCATTTTACTGACATTTTGGTCCATTTTCCCCAATTCTCTCTCGCAGCAAAATCACCGCCACCACCCAACAAACCCATGAGCTGGAATTTCAATTACTGTGCATGAAGGGAGGTAAAGTTGTTATCTCTCTACAAAGTGTAGATTTTTTATTTCAGGTTTCATTTGTTTGTATTGGGTAACTTGAATTTTGCTTCAAATTGTAGTAATTGCCATGCAAATTTACTTTTTTTGTGTGAAATTGGAGAGTTTCGGTTTTGAAAGTTATATTTGCAAATATGAAAAGAGCTTATATAAAAACATGGAGGAACTGTGTGTTTAATTATCATTAAACGCTACCTTTTAGCTATGTAATGTAGAGGCTGTTAAAAAGAAATTTTATATCATGTTTTGGTTTTGTTTCATTTTTTTATCTTCGGCCTTTGTTGTGTAAACTTGGTTGTGCCTTATTTCTTCTGCCTTTTTGTAACTTTTTTTTTCATATCTCAAATAAAATTTGTATTTCTTGATTTTGTTTGTCCAGTTCAGACGAGAACAGTGTTTTCATGTTCTCCCCAACATCAACAAGCGCTTTGTTTGTGCTGAGGAAGCACTACTCAACCCTTCTCTACCATTATGAACAGGTTCACCTTTTAGGCACAGGGTCCTTTATCTACCCCCACACAATCTTCTATATTTAATCTTTTGTAACATAATCTTTTATACCTTTCAAACATAATTTTTCATACGATTCTTAATCCCGCAGCAACGCCCGGGTAGCATTTTCTAGTAATACCTAAAATACTAATATTTTCCAACAATATCTGTGATATTCATAGGTGGTACTTGAAAGCATGCTATATTATCTTCAAAGGTTAATTTGGTTTCTTTCTCTGTAACTCTGAGGACCCCTTCAATGAACCTGGAATCTATAAGGGAAGGTTTGGATACTGAAAGGATAAAGAGGTGATGGCTATTATTACTTTGGTCAAAAGTTATTGGAAGTTTATATTTGGAGAAACTCAGAAGGCAATGCGAAGAGCAAAAGCCATAAATATTAGTCTTTAAAGACTCATGTCCAAGAGTGCATGTTTATATAAGTTTTGGTCTAGGCTTTCAAGTTTTCAACTTTCTACCTGCGCCTGCGTACTGATTACTGTGTAAGACCCCCTCTCCTCCTCCTCCTCCTCCTCCTCCTCCTCCTCCTCCTCCTTTTTCTACAAATTGAATGTCTTAATATTATTGATCTCAATCCCTCATTCTCCCACTAGAGCCAACACTTATTTAACACAATACTTATTGACATGAAATCATACTTGTTTAATACTAAGTTCTTCATGGATATTAGCTTTTGACTGAAATTTGTAATTGTGTGAATGTTTTAAGTTATAAATCGCTTATTTTGTTAATACTAAACTCATGGCCATTTAAGTATGATTTCTCATGTGCTTATGGGAGTGGTGTACTTTGCTCAATGAGGATTTTGTCGTTACACCGTGGGATGATGGTTATGAAATTCTGATATTAGAATGTTAAGTTTTAGTGATACGTTACGAAGAAAGTTGAGATTTTATTTTAAAATTAATTGACAGTATTATGAGAAGTTTTATTTTTTATTTTTATAAATGTGGAACTTGCTATTACCATGTCATCATTTAACAGTTAATAAATTTTCTAATGGATATATGAAATTATACCTATACTAAAACCCCAAAACCGTGTTATTGTTCACGGACAGTGCGCGGGCCAAAATGCCCCTTAAGTTGGTCTTCGGCCATTCCTTTTTGTCTTTTTTGTACAGTAAAATCCCGAATTTGACCTCATTTTGTGCTATTTGCCGGTTATGCATGGCTTGGACTTTGTTTCCGGGCCTGGGTTTTGTGTTTTCTAGGAAAGATGATTTACTTTTTTTATTCTACACGTATGTCTATCTGACTTGCTTTTGGTTGGTAGTTGTGCTCTTTGACCCTGTTTTTAGTTTTCTAATGTTGCACGCAAGATTTAGGACTTGGATTGTCTGCCCTCTTAGTTATGGTGCCCTTCCATGCCCTCCTATTTTGTGCGATCACGGTTAAGCCACGTTAATATTTTATATTAATTTTTTAATAAGATAATAAGACAAAAAATAATAAAAATATAAAATATTGACGTGGCTTAATCGTGACCGTACAAAATAGGAGGGCATGGAAAGGCACCACAACTAGGAGGGCAGACAATCCAAGTCTCAAGATTTATGGCACAAAAACAGATCAAAAATGATAAATTAATGGGTTGTTGGACAAAAAAATAAGATTAAAAAATGTCAGGAGTTAAGCCCAAGCAGATGATTTATAGCACAAAAAAGAATAAAAAATTATAAAAAAATTGGTTAGAGAGTAAAAAAATGATTAAAAAATGTGAAAAGCTGGTTTGGTGTGTTTGATTATTGTTTTTAAATATTTTCTCCTTTTAGCATACCCATGTATAGCTGTTGGGAAAACAAAATTTTTTTTTTTTAAAATGTGATTAAAACAGGGCCACGTGGGTTGTGGCACAACTAACAATAAAAATTTATACCTTCTTAATTTTTTAAATCCATGTATAGCTGGTGGATGGACTGAAAAAATATTAAAAAATATGATGCACAGTAAATTTAACGGGGCCTCTCTTATACCACGTGTTGGTCACTGTGAGGTTTGTTATATATATATATATATTATACCTATACTAAAACCCCAACGACGTGGTACTGTTCACGGACAGTGCACGGACTAAAATGCCCCTCGATTTGTTTGTTAAGCCAAATTTTTGCCATCTTTTCCACAGTGAAAAGACTGCCTTGCCCTCAAAGGCCACGGGTTGATACTTTCCTGTTTCCTTTTTTTTTTTCTATATTGTTGTAGCTATCTACTAAAGCAGTTCCCGTCCACTGTTCATCATGTGAGAGGGCTACTGTTCATCATGTGTATCTTCTTTTAAATTCTGACTCCCTCTTCGATTCCAGCGTTTTTCCCTTACCTAATCCACACCTGGCAGCAAATGGTACCTGCCTTTCCATAAAAAAATAATTAAAAAACCATACCTGATCCACATCCGGCAGCAATGATGCATTTCCACCAAAAAATAATTAAAAAACCAAAAATCTGGAACATGCAGAAAAAAATGGATAGAAAAGGGGAAAAAGAAATAGAGAGAGAGAAAGAAAAGCTGAGCATGGATTGTGAGAGAGGGTGTCTATCACTAGAAAAAAAAAAATTAAAAAACACAACATCATGGCATCTGGAACAGTTCCCCACCACTGTTCATCACGTCTTTCCTTTCTTCCGCACATCGTTCCTCGCAATTCCTCTAATTTTTGCCCACGCGTTCATCGCTCTGCACACCTCCTCTTCAATCATCATGTCCACGCGTCGATCATCGTCGAAGGGCTCTGCTTCGACTCCTTCTCGACTTTTCCTCTAACTCTCCTTCACTTTGCGGTCTTCTCTCATCTCTCACTCTTTCTCATGCTTTCTTTCTCTACCCAAGAAGCCTTCCATGCATTTCGATCTCTCCCACAAACCCTTATGTTGCTAAAGCTTGCCTTCCCTCGCTCTCCGATCTCGATTTCTCTCTCACTTTCGTGCTGAAAAAGACCAACCCAGTAGAAATTTCTGCAGTTCTCTCTCTCAAAAACTATAAATCACAGCGGCCAAACTCCAGAAAAATAAAAATAAATAAATAAATGGAATTTGAAAAGCCATTTGCTTTTCCTTGGATTTGGGTTTTCCTTCGATTTCTACACTGTCCAAAACTAGCGGCGTGGATCAAGCTAGGGTTTTCTCTGAGCCGCGATTGTTGCTCTGTCCTCCGCGCGTCCGTCACTGTAAGTCCTTTTTTTTCCAGAATTTTCAATGCATCGTTTTCTCTTCGTGTCTAACTTTTGTGTGTCTCTGTTATAAAATGTTGACGCCAAAGGTTTGTTGCTGAAAAATTGCGGCTACAAGATTTTTCAGATTTTCCAATTTCGTTGCCAAAAAAAAAAAAAAAACTCCGACGACCAGCGTTTTGTGGTGAGTTTTCCAGTTTTGTCTATGCTCTTTTTTCTAATTTTGGATTTGCAAATGAGTATTCTTTTTTCTTTGTTCCTTCGTGACTTGCATGCTGCTATATAATTTGGTTCTGTTTTTGTTTGTTCTCAAAGTTTGGTGTGTGGGAATCCGTTAATGCTTCATTTTTGCTCTGTACCAAGAGTTGTTTTCTTCTTTCTTATGGTTGTGAATATATGTATGTGAACATATAAAACCTTCGTTTGGAGTGAATCGAAAAGCTTACTACGATAAAATTATATTTTGTGGTACTTGAATATTAGCCCATGGTATAATCAGTTTCTACTCAAAGTCTAGAAATCAAAGGACCCCAAATTTGCCAGAAAACGAGTAGAGGTTGGTTGTCCTGCAATCTAACCTCAATAATTATGGTTTTCACTTTATAAATTCTGGATTTTTTTTACTTAATTGTTTGGACTTTGAATTGGCAGATGAGGTTATATTAAGTTTTGAACTTTGATTTTTGTTTTGTGTGATTGCAGAGCAAGGAGAATTGACCCCAGTTAGCTCCAACCTTGCGGTAAACTTTTCTTTTTGTTTAGAGTTATGAGAATTCTTATAGAAAAAATTAGAAAAACTCATATTATAATTTTTGGTTTAAATATGTTTTTAATTTGGTCCACCATGTTATGTTTGTTAACAAGAACCTATAAGAGTCTCAAATTCAGTTTCGAACTCTGACTAAAAATGGAACTTGGTGCCTCCTCAGCCCTCAAAATTTAAGTAACCCCATGATTTTTACATTACTGCGTTCGTTTTCTCTACTAATTATTGTTATATGAATTGTATTCTTCTATTAAAAATGATTAATTACACTATCCAAAAAAATAAAAAATAAAAAACCTCATGCATTGCAGGTTTGGGATGATAGTTTAAAATCAATATGCTCATTAACCAGTCTGAGAACCTAATTTGGGAAGTGGGTTTTAAAGTTTCAATAGTTTCGTTATGTGTAATTTTCTTGCTTTGCCTACTAAGAATCTAATAACCAAATGCTTAGTTATTTTCTCCAAATGGTTTTCGATTTGTTGTAGGTAAACGAGGGCTACTCTACTGTTTATGCAGCAGGGGAAGGGAAGGGAAGTAAAAATTATAAGCAAATGCGTATAAGTTACAAGCTTTTAATTAAAAATAGAAATGGAGTGACAACAAACAAAATATAGGTAAAATGGACGACTACATTCTTTCTATTTAAATATAAATCAATTGATTAAGTTTGTGTCTATACAAGTTTAAAATGAAGTTATGTGTTGATTTTAAAAGAACTATGCATGCTGGATTTTTATAGAAGTGTCATGAAAGTTTTATACCAAACTTTTTACAGGGATTAAGTTCATTTAAGTATGGGTCGTTTTGTATTTGAAATCTGAAAGGAGAAACAGAAATTACAAGAAGAAGAGGAAGATTGCGTTCCGATCATGGCCTTCTCTTCCTGCCTCTTATCCAAATCCTGACAAGTTAGTTACTCAACCTTCACTTCTCATCCGTCTCCTTTTTTTTTTCTTTTTTTTTATATTGTTTGGCTTCTGAGATTTGAGAAAATTAGGACATTTAAAGATTTTGATTTCAGTTTAAATTTTCTTAAATTTATTGATTATTAGATGACATAGTTTGTGATATACTGTAATTGATTTGAGTGATTATAATTTTAATTTTTCATGGTTAGAGCGGCATCGCGATGAAATGGGTATGAATTAACATATTTTGTGCGTTTGAATCCTCAATGAAGTTGTTTACTACAGTAATTGTGTTTGTTTGATAATAGGGATCTTATTGAAAAGCAAGGAAGAAGAATTGAATTAGATTATTGCGGGGCTCAGGAAAAACTATGCTTCTTTACAAGAGAAATTTACGAAATAAGAGTTGGATAAGATGGTAAGTAGATGGGTTTGGTATTCATTGTGGCTGAATTTAGGTAACTTCTGTACATTATTAAATGTTTGAATATGTCTATCAGGCTGCAATGGAATCTCTCATTATGGAAAGAGAGGCTAGACTTGAAATTGAGCGACAACAAAATTCCCTCTCATATGAGCACAGGAGAGTTCAAAGAGAGCTTTCAAGTGCTACTCAGAAGGTAGGCTCCATGTGCAATTGTTCTTGCTATTTAGGCAATTTCCTGGAACATTGAGTAGAAAAACAAATTAGAATTTTGTTGGTTTTTTCTTTTATGAAGTGTAAGCGTTAATGCATTTCATCCTAATATGCAACTTATATTAGTATCGCATTTTGAAAGGTTAGCATCTCAAGTGAACCAAATTTACCATTTTCCATTTAAATGAATTTTAAGATAACCTCCGGTCCATGTTTGTTTAACAATTTGTTATAATTCATTATAGTTTTCAAAAAGGTCGTGCATAATTCTTGCTGAACTTGGTTTGGGTTTTTTTTGTTTACGGATGGAGTGAGTTAATCACAGTTCTATCCGGTTAGTCATGTTCCCATTGTTGCATGACTTTTTGAACAGAAAACAAGGTTTATTATTCAATTTCCACATCTACTTTTGATTTGGTAGATGTTGATTAATCTCATCTGTACCTGTTACTATTTTGTGGCTATATATGATTTATATGACTTCCCAATTCTATATATTTAGTACCATTGAAATACATTTGGCATACGTTAATTCTGCCTTTCTACAATTTCTACAATTTCTCATTGCTGCTTAAGTGGAACAAAATTAACTCAAACATTGCTTACGAAGAGAATGAAGTTGCATAATCTTTCATGAAATTTTCAATCCCGCAGCAACGCGCGGGCACAAATATCTAGTATACACTAAAACCCAAACCGATGGTTACTGTTCTAGAGCAGTGTGCGGACCAAAATGCCCCTCAAGTTAGTCTTCAGCAGTTACTTTTTGTCTTTTTGTACAGTAAAATCCCGAATTTGCCCTTTCTATTCACCCGTTCCTCCATCTGTGGAGTCTTTCTTTTAGTCTTTTTTTTAATTCTTTAAACCTAGCTGGTGGGCAGACAAAAAAATATTAAAACAATGTGATTAAAACCGGGCCACATGGTTTGTGGCACAACAAACAATAAAAATTTATACCTTCCTAATTTTTTAAACCCATGTACAGCTGATGGGAAGAGCAAAAAAATATTAAAAAAATATGATTAAGACCGGGCCACATGGTTTTTGGCACAAGAAACAATAAAAATTTATATCTTCTTAATTTTTGAAACCCATGTATAGCTGGTGGGAAGACCAAAAAAATATTTAAAAATGTGATACACAGTGAATTTAACAGAAGGAGGCTGGAAAAGTTGGGGGAACCGGGGCCTCTCTTACCACGTGTTGGTCATCGTGAGGTTTGATATGTGCGCTTATTTGATTTGAGGAAACGCTCATCCCAATTTTGGGGCTTTCATGTGCGACTTTGCAAGCTCTTTGTGTTCAAGGTGTGTATATAAAATCTACTTTTTCTTTTGGGCTTTTTGTTGAACAAAATTTAAATTTTTTTGGGGTGGTCTTCGGTTTGGCTCTATGATTTGCTTTTCTTTTCATTTCAGGAAACGTTTGTCTTTGTTTTTTGGAAATTTTGTATGTGTTTGCAAACCATTTGTGCATCAGGTATATAATTTCAATTTTTTTTTCGTGGATTATGTGTGGTTCTCTGATGTGTTTTGATTTTTGATTTCAGAAAAAGTTAAGGATACGATCAAACGTTTACTGGTGAGTTTTCTATTTTTCTGATTGTGTGTGATTTAATTTTTTTTCAAGCTTTGGGTGTACTTTTCTGATTTGCTTTGATTTTTAGTTTGCAGCAAAAGTTGTTGGTCAAATTTCCAGTTTTTCATTGCGGCTTTGCAAGCTCTTTATCATCAAGGTATAGAATTTTTAAAGAGAGTATATGTATGAATTTAGGTACCAAGGCAAAAAATTGGTTGCTGACAATGCGATAGGGTAGAGGTTTGCTTAGAGACTGAAATTTAAAAGATAGAGATCGCTTTGTTTAAATATTTTTGAAAACAAGAGTGTTGTAAAATGATAAGAGAAAGAGATTTTCTTAACTGATCAAATTGTTATCATGACTAGCTTTTGCTTCTTTTGGGTTAATAAATGTTAGATGCATTTAGGTTTTTGCGTTGTGAATTTTTAATTTTCTGTTTAATTTGGATTTTCGTGTTTTGTATTTTGAATTCGTATCCTAAATTGAAAATGAATTAGGATAAATGAATGCTACATAAACTGATGACCATGATAGAGCAAAAAATATATTGAGTCTTTTTTTTTTATAGTCTTTTTATGAGAATTCTTACAAAAAAATCTAAAAAAATGTGAGTTAAACCCGGTGTGTCACGATAAGTCTTTCTTTTATTCCAGAAAAAGATAAAATAATGATAAAAAAAAATTGGTGGCAGGACAAAAGAATATTAAAAAAATATGATAAAACAACTTATGGCAGGAAAAATTGATGGCAGGACAAAAAAATATTAAAAAATGTGATAAAGCAACTGATGGTAAGGGAATAAAAATCTTGAAAAATGTGAGTTAAACCCGGCGTGACACGACAAGTCTTTCGTAAGGCAAAAGAAAAAATTAAAAAGGCTTAATCGGATAAATGGTTCCCGTGGTCATAAGGTATTCGGATGATAGCCCCTGTGGTAAAAAAATTCGGATTTAAACCCCTGTGGTCACAGTCTATTAGGATTTAAACCCCTGTGATTTAAGTCTGTTAGGATTTATGCCCTTCTGTCATTCCTCCATTCCTCCATTAGGTTTAGGTTGGCAAAATTAGATAAATGGTTCCTGTGGTCTTAAGGTATTCGGAAGATAGTCCTTGTGTTAAAAAAAATTCGGATTTAAACCCCTGTGGTCTAAGTTTGTTAGGATTTATGCCCGAAACTAGAGGTTTCGTCATTTTTCCGCTAAGTTTACAGGTGGAGTAGAGTTTCTCTGAGGAGACGCGACAGAACGAGGTGGAACTAATAAATCACATAATAATTCATTAAAATTCAAGATCTAATAAATCAAATAATTCAAAATGCCTTTATAAAATTAACGAGTTTTTGACTACCGAATATCTAACCGATTAATTAATTCTTTTATAACATATTCTATTTTTCTTTGACAAATAAGACAGTAATCGTTGGCGTTTTCCCAAAATTTTACGTAAACCTCTCTGAGATAAATAGTTTTTTTTTGTATAATTGTAAATGTGAAGTAAGTATTCGTATCCTATCGGTGAAAACTAACTATTTGAAATTCAACAGATCATCTGTTTTCGTCTTTTTCTTCTTGTGAAATAACTGACATGAATGAATTTTTTTACCATAAACTGAAATCTTCTCTCCCCCCTCTTTTTATTGTAAGATATTTTTTATTGATAGATACTCAGAGAAACTCTGCTCCACCTGTAAGCCTAAAGAAGGAATGACAGAACCTCTAATTTCAGGCATAAATCCTAATAGACTTAGACCACAAGGGTTTAAATCCGAAATTTTTCTACCACAGGGGCTATCTTCCGAATTCCTTATGTCCACGGGGATCATTTATCCGATTTGGCCAACCTAAACTTAATGGAGGAATGACAGAAGGGCATAAATCCTAACAGACTTAGACCACAGGGGTTTAAATCCTAACAGACTGTGACCACAGGGGTTTAAATCCGATTTTTTTTACCACAGGGCTATCATCCGAATACCTTATGACCACGGGGATCATTTATCCGATTAGGCAATTAAAAAATACAAGCTAAACTTAACGTGGCAAGATTCTTTTAGTTCAGAAAAAGATAAAATAATAATAAAAAAAAATTGGTTGGCAGGACAAAAAAAATCTTGAAAAATGTGATAAAGCAACGTATGTTTGTAAGCTCCTCTTTTATTTCTCTTTTCTTTTCTACACGTTTGCTGTCTTATTTCCCTTTCTCCTCTTTTTCTTTCATTTTTAGCTTCTTTTTTTTTTTTTTTTTTTTTTCTGATGATCAATATTGTTTTTTCTGCAGTTACTGCTTTAACCAAAAAACTTTTGCTAATGTGTTAAAGGATGTTGGCATGTGTTATCCAAAAAAAAAAAGTATTGATTTCACATTTTTTTGTGTGTAAATAGTTGATCCTAACATGAATTTTCCGTTCTTTTTATGTATATAAACAATGGTCTCTTTAGGATCATTGTCAAGGGGGAATACTAGATTAACCATTTTTGTGTACTGATGATAAGGCATTTGATAAATGTATTTTCTGTAAATTATATCAACTTACACAACTTTGTAAAAATATTTGTTCCATTTTATGTTTAGTATTTATAACTCTTTGCATATTTATATGTTAAAAACATAATCTATAGTTATATTTTCGCTCCCGCAACAACGTGCGGGCAAAATTTACTAGTTGAAACTAAAACCCAAATTTTTGTATGACATTGTGACATTTTAAAGATGATTTATGAAGTTACAATTACCCCCAAACTTAGTGCAAACTATAACTTTATAAAAACCCTCCAGCAACTCAGCAATGTTTGTCGTTGTCACAGAACAGTATATGGTAAGTAAACCCTCCAGGAAGAGTTGTTACCAGAAGAGATAAAAGAAAACCCACCCTACTAAGTTTTACTTAAATCACAATAGAAGAAAAGGTGCAAACTTTCGGATTCCATGCCTATAAACCTCACAAGGCAATGCACAGAATAAAGCTACCTCAATTTGTTACCTTAATCATATTTTGGTCTCTCAAGTTTTCAAAGTTTTTGTCTGCCTCTCTGGGTAGTGATTTCTGGGTAAGCTTAGCTCCTTCTTCTTCTCTCTCTCTCTCTCCCTCCCTCTCTCTCTCCTTATAAAATCCTCCCCATTAATTATTTGATCTTCTTTATATAAATACTTTGAATGTTTTATTTGCTCTGTTCTGTGTTCATATCAATTCGAAGCTATGTTTTTGCTCTACACATTGAATGTCAATATTTATGCAAGCATTTTATTTTTGCCTGTATAAATTTTCTTTTAGGAACAACTTCCGGTGTTAAAATGGCTTACGTCCCACCCCACAAGCGGCATTTAAAGGAAACCGAGAGGCCGTTGCTGACGCCGGAGCTGTTTGCTCCCCAGTTCAAGAAAAACTTAAATGTCAAGCCATCAGAGTTTGATGTTGAAACAAGTTCAAAGTCATTTCTTTATGCAAACCATGCTCTATCGAGATTTTACACCGTTGGTTTGGATGACCAGAACCAGTTTCCGTCTACAGTTAAGCTTGAGCCCATTTCCTTGGACTCTACCTACTGGAATAATGAAGAAAACCTCTAGCTTTGGTAAACTCTTGCCTAGATAATGGTAAGTAGTAGTTTAACATATGGTTAATATAGTTAATCGAATTATATATATGAATATTTTTAAATTAATTTTTCTTTCTTGGTTTATAGAATGGAAATTGCCAAAGAGTCCTTGGGTATCTATAGCAGAAATTGCCCTTGATGACCTATTTTCTGCATATAAAAATGCAAGGAATCAAATGGAGTGTGGAGAGCATGAAGAATTTCAACTGAATTTGGTTGCTAAAGTGGGAAAATTTCTGTTTCATAGGTTTGGTTTTCTTCTTAGATAATTCATCTTTTTGCCATGCATATACTAACTTAAATACGAAAGTATTGAAGATTGTAAAAACCCACATTAGAAAACTGACAGAGTTAAATACCACATATATTGAATGGATGTGCTAATAATTGCATGGAAGCCTTTTGTATAAAATCTCAAACGTCAAGGGAAACTTTGACCGAAAGCATGTATACGTGATATCCCTAAGTGGTACTTGAAAGCGTGCTATATTATCTTCAAAGATTAATTTGGTTTGTTTCTTCGCAACTGTCAGGACCCCTTCGATGAACCTGGAATCTATAAGGGAAGGTTTGGATACTGAAACCTTGATAAAATTGAAGAAGTCTTTTTATGCAAACGTTCCGTTGTCGTATAAGGAAAACATTGTAAAGGAAGTTGTCCCTAAGATTTGTGTTGAGCTCAAAGGGAAGAACGAGTTATACTATGTAAAGGTATATTTGTTTTGTTATATTCACGTCAACTAGCTAAATTCATACTTTCACAGATATCCAAAGTGTTTGAATATATTAAATCTCTCTCCTTTGTTCCTTGTTCTTGTATAGTTGTCTGACTCTAGACGACCAAAATCAATCATCACTTGCAAATGCAGTGTAGCAAAAGAACATGGAAAACTACAACTATGCAAGGCAAGTTTTAAATTCATAAAATATGGATGTGTAGTTTACTTATTGCAAAATCACGCACTGTTATGTGTTTTATTTTTTCGTTTAGTGAGACTTGCATCAAATGGCCATTTTCTTTTAGATGGAGCTGGATCCACTGCGTTACATGGTCACGAACATACCATGCCTTAATAAAAATTTGGACCTCAGACTCATGCTATGCACGAAGAAGATCGTAACAGCTTTCGCTGTAAGTTGCTATACCTGGAACACCATTGAGAATTTTTATTTTATTCTTCGTTGATTAAAATTGTTGGTGTATCCAGGATGATGAGATGCAATACATTAGGGATGTAATTAGTTCGGCGATTCTGGATTCAAATGTGAAGGGAGGGAGGGTTGAGATGGCCACTAGGGAAAGCGTTTTCTGGAGGCCGGTATAATGTCGTTGGAATTTGGCATACATTTACCACTACTTATGAAAATCCATCTCTGAAACTAAAGTTAAGGCATGCGAATCGCTTCGATTTTACAACCTCAGCTGGTGAAACTGGTTGGGAGGTTAGGCTGTTTCTGAAAATGCTCGTTTCAAAGTTACACGTAAGTCTTGTATTTTTCTCTCACAACCAAGCATCTATCATGTAATGTACCAAGAAAAGATCTATCATGTAACATACGTTGATCTTATTCTTTCGATTTTTCAGGAGGAGAATGTTGAAGTCGGCTTGATTTCTGATATGCTGCAGGAGAATGTGAAGTTGATATGGGACAACTTCTTATGCTGTGAACCTTTTCTAACATGAAATGGAACTGCACGTTGTAAACTTCTCTATTGGAACAATGATTTAACACATGGTTCGTTGTAAACCCCGGTATTTTTTGGCACTCGGTTCCTTCATCTTAAGTCATGTTTAGTTTACTTTTTAGATTCGGAACTCTTACTCGAGCTGATGGCGAGATCTTTTCTGTTGTTGGAGTGATTGTTTGTGGAGTGATTTGCTTTGCTCAATTATGATTTTGTCATTACACTGTGGGATGATGGTTATGAATTTGTGATTTCAGAATGTTTAGTTTTACTTATGTATTACGAGAAATGATAAGGAGACTATCTCAAAAGTGAGGCTCTCAATGGACTCTCCGCTACCTCATGCTTTTGACACAATTCTTGTGCCAACATTACAAAACATTGTGCAAAAAATGCGAGGTGACAAAGTGTCCATGGAGACTCCAACTTTGAGAAAGTCTCCTTAGTATTTCTCTTACAAGGAAAGTTGAGATTTTAGTATAAAATCAATTGATAGTAGGGAAAAACCCGATTCATTATAAGCTTATGCAAAGTTCGTTAACCTTATGATGGGAGACAATCCTTGATAAGAAAGATGTAACTACTAGATACCTAGATTTCTAGTCATACGTGAATTGAATAATAATCTAAATGTTTAATTTAAGCATTTAATTAAACCATTATCCCTTATATGAGGTCTCTAGTTGATTTTTTTAACCTTGACGGTACAAGGAATACTTATTAATAAGAAAATTAAAGTTACACTTAGATAAGAGGAACAAAAACCTTATCCTCGTAACACAAAAAACGAGGAAGGAATCAAAACTTGACCCCTCCTAAATCTTGAAGAAAATGAATACAAGAAAATAGGGTTTCTAATGACCAAAACCCCTCAAACAAAACTTAAAAGTCATTGCAACCGACAATCTACAAATTATATTCCGAAAAAGATTACTCCGAGTTGAATTATTCTCTCTAATAGTTTCTCTTGTATTAAAAAAAATTATAATTGTACCTCATTTGTCAAGAATTTCCGATTCAAATGATTAAAGATGTTTACTATGTGTGCACAATCCTCCCTTCACAAAGCATGTGAACTGGGGACCATATGGACCTACAAAACGTCGATAAAAGTTAAACATAGTAATGGGAAAAAACAATTTCACTATCAAAAACTTCTTTTTTATTTTTTTACTTTATAAAAACCATCCAGCAAGGTTTGTCACAGAACCGTGTACAGAGAAATCTCTGATGAGTCTATTTTATTTATATATTTTATCCTAATTTTAGTATGCTTTGATATTACTTTGGTGAAATTTTGATACTTTGATTCATATTTTTAAAGTAAAACATGCGACTTCTTCTTGAGCAAAAAGTGATGAAGGGGATGAATTTTGGAGTGATTCCAATTGAAGGATGTTCGTGAGTCCTCAGATTGGTCGTGTCAAAGTTTCAGATTTTCCTAACAAGCAGTTAATTTATGGCAATGAAATAAAGGAGTAGTGTGCGAAGCTGTCAAAATGACGTTTTGGTCTTATTTGGGCTTTTTGGCATCCAAGATGGTGTCTTTTGTTATTGGACTCTTATGGAGAAATGTTCAGAACATCTTACGCTTTAAAATAAGCTATCTTGGTCTGTTTTGGAGGTGTTTAAGGCCTAGAATGTGGTTGTTTTGGAGATAAGTTCATAACATCTCAAGCTTTAAAATAAGCTATATTGGGCATGTTTTGAAGGTGTTTTAGGCCTAGAACGTGGCTGTTTTGTGGCTAGGCTGATTTCCCATTATTGTTTAGAATTATATTTCCTAGTTTCTTTTTACTTATTATGTTTCTTAGTTTTTAGAAGACCTTTTATGAGAATGATTTTATTTGCTAGTAATATAAATAAGGCTTATTACACCATATGGAGGCATTACTTTGGAGAATTTGGCTTAGAGAGCTTTTGACTATTTGAGTTTATTTAGAAGGTGTTTTCTATTCATGTTTTTAAAAATATTTTTCTTTATGATGTGCGTAATTAGTCTCTTTTGTTAGGGCGAGGCCACGAGTCTTAACAAGAATATGTAATTTCTTTTCAATTTGTTTATGATTTATACATACAGATTTTGTATTATTGTGTTTGAAACTATCTAATTGTTTTGATGCTTGATCACCATTAGGATATTTAGAAAATGAATTTGATGCAATTTTGGTCGGATGACTGTTCCTGAAATTGATGAAGGCTTCTTACGGTTAATAATTGTAATTTCACTTAGGATGAATACTGTGTTTTAAGGGTTCATTGTTTTTCAAAAGGTTTTCATAAAGCTTAAAAGAGTCTTGAATGTTTAGATTTGATCTGAATACCATGAACGGATTGCATGTTTGAAATACGTTCTATATTGGAGGTCCAAGTATAGCATACTTTAAAAAAACCTAACCCTTCAAAATATTTTTAATTGGTTGAGAGAACTATATAAAATTGTTAAGGTGACAATGAAATTATAGTTCTTTTACAAACTACAACTTTATTTTCAAAATCCGTTTTCTTTTGTTTCCTTACTTTGCTGATTTATTTAATTATTTAATTAAAAATCGTTTTTATTATTTTAAATTTCAAAATCAATTTTTTTTCAAACTTAATTTTAAATAGGTAATTAAGAATTAGCTAAATACAAATGATTTAATCAATCTATATAGAAACCGATCTTATTTGAACCGTTTATATTATAATTATTTTAGTATCTTGTCCTTTTGCAAATATTTTTAAATATTTTTTTTGAAAAAATCCTATCAACCTCCACCAAGTTGTCTTGTCACTAGAAAAAGAAAAAAGAAAAAGTTGAAGGAGTTGAAGAAAAGGTGCAAACCTTCGAATTCCATGTCTACAAAACCTGCAATGCACATGGTAAAGCTACTACAATTTCTTATCTTAAATCTTTTTTTGGTCTCCCAGTTTTCAACTTTCTATCTGCCTCTCTGGGTACTGATTTCTGGGTAGGTTCTTCTTCTTCTTCTTCTTCTTCTTCTTCTTCTTCTTCTCTCTCTCTCTACTTATCAAATTCTCCCCATTAATTATTTGATCGTCTTTATATATTTACTTTGAGTGTTTTATCTGCTCTGTTGTGTGTTCATATCAATCCGAAGCTATATATTTTGCTCCAAGAAAGTGATCAAAATAATTACCCAGTTGATCAATTTATCAGGAAAGCACCCTACCTACCATGATCACATTCTCGGAGAAGGATCCTCTCCGGATCTCTCTCGGGGGATCCATGGGGGTCGTTTAATCTTGGCCCTTCACGGAAATCGTGCGGTCACAATTAATTATTCTTTTTTTCTACGCAAGCCCACGTAATCCTTCTGCCTTTGTCTGAGCACCCGCCCCACCTCCGCACCGCCGCACCGCCATCTTCTTCATCTTCCATTTTTGCCTCCAGATCCTTCAATTCTCTTATTCCCAACCATTTTGGGTAAAATACAAAACTACAAACCATGTTTTTATTATTTTTTTGAAGTCTAGGACAAACCGAGCAGCAATCCGAACGCCGTGGTGGTGTTGGCTGTATTCGCTGGGTCTGGCGGCTCTGCACCTACATCGCCTCCGACGACGGCGACACCTGCGCGTCCGCCAACCCCGACGAGTTCGAACCCATCCCTCGCATCTGCCGCCTAATCCCCATGTTTTCCCTTTACCTTTGCCTTCTGTCGTTGACTTTAACATTAAACTTTGAAACACTAAACCTCCTAAAGTAATTGAATGAAAAAGTAGAGAATTTTAGAAAATTTGCGGGTCGGAGGAAGAAGGAAGAAGGAAGAAAGAAGCAGTGAGGGAGGTGAGTGCCTCGTTTGGCGTGAAAGATGACAAAAAAAAATAAAATTAGTTTTTGACCGTTCGATTTACGTAGACGATCTGGATTGAAGGATCCCCACGGATCCTCAGAGAGAGATTCGGAGATGATCTTGGTCCACTTTATCAGGCGAACCATTTTTGTAATTGTTCCAAATTCGAATGAAAGGTTTCAACTTTCTTCATTTTCCTCAGCAACCAGATAAACCAATAAGAACACTTGTTGCTGCATAAATATGACTACTCTGTTTTTGGGTTGCCCTCACTTTGATCCTTCGTTTTTATAGGCATAAGTGCTAGTTCTACAATGGCTTACGTTCCACCACACAGGCGGCACTCGAAGGGACCGGAGAGGCCATTGCTCAAACCAGAGCTGCTTGCTCCTCAATCCAAGAAAAACTTAAATGTTAAGCCATATAATAAGTCTATTGTGGATTGGACGGAAAATATAGTTTATGCAGACCATTCTACACATCGATGGTGCGCCATCCCTTTGGATGACGAGAACCAGTTTCCATCTTCTGTTAATCTTGAGCCTGTTACCTTGGAGTCTGCTGTGCTGAATTTTGGAGAAAATCATCTAGCTTTGATCAATACTGGTCTAGATAATGGTTAGAACTTCAATAATTCTTTTGTGCATGTATTTTATAAGTTGTTACTTGGGTTATGGATTTGTTTGGCTGATACTTGATAGAAGGCGGTGAGGTGGAGTGGAACTTGCCAAGGAGCCCTTGGGAATATATAACAGAAAATGTGCTGGAAGACTTGCTTTCGGCATTTAAACACGTGAGGAATGAAATGAAGTCTGCAAGGCCCAAAGAAGTAAGTCCAACTTTGGTTGCCAGAGTGGGGAAAGTACTCTTTCGCAGGTTAGATTTCCTCCTCATCTAATTCACTGGTTAGCTTTCGAGCCTTTTGTGCCATTCATTAACTTGATTATGTAATGCGATTATTCATTAATTTGTTCTTTTAGTTGCCTCAGGATACTGGTTAAAGTAGAACAAAAAATAGTTATACTATGATAAAAGGTCATATTTTGGCATTTTAGCTCAGAAGATACGGTGCCAAGTTTGACAGTGAAGTAGGATTATCAAATTCTGCCCTTGTTTTTGATACTTGATACATATATTTCAGTATTGATGCTTAATCACTGTCAACCATCTCATATTTCACATTAGTTTTGTAACAACAGGAAAGAATCTTGTACTACTCCTTAGTTATACATGAGCAGATGAAAGACAATCTTTTGTTGAAATCTTTGTATGAGTTAACATGGAATCTATCAGAAAAAAAATTGTTTACTGAAGCCTTGAAACAATGGAGGAAATCATTTTGCACAAACATCCCCGTTTCATTTAAGGAAAAGATTTTAAAGGAAGTTGTCTCGAAAGTTGTAGTTGATTTCGAAGAGGAGAAACATATACCAAGTAAAGCTTTTCAGCCTATTGTTCTTTTAGTTGATCGTTTCATGCGATTATCCTTTTTACCTTTATATTGTTCTCTTATCTGCCTCAGAATACTGGTTGAAGTAGAACAAAATAATAGTATATTCTATGATAAAAGGTTACATTTGGCATTTTAGTTTAGAAGGTAGGATGCCAAGTTGAACAGTGAAGGACTCTAAAACTCTGCCTTTGTTTTTCGATACTTGATCAATATTATTTTGGTATCGATGCTTAATTACTGTCGATAATGATATTTCATATAATTTGTACACAAACAGATGTATACATAGCAATTTTTGTTGAAATCTTTGAATCAGGAGCCCTTCAATTAACATGGAATCCATCAGAAAAAATTATGGTACTGAAATCTTGCAACAATGGAGGCGATTATTTTACATAAACACTCCTGTTTCATATAAGGGAAAGATTGTGAACGAAGTTGTCCCGAAAATTGGAGTTGATTTCGAAGAGGAGGAAGATACATACGAATTACAGGTATTTCTTTTAGACACGTCAACTTACTGAGTTCTGAGTTCATGTGTTCCAGAATTCTGACTGTAGCTATTGAATTGCTCATTCATTTTATTCTTGTATAGTTGTCTGATTCTACGAGTCCAGAGTCCACTCTCTTCTGCAGATGTCGGGTAATGAAAGAACATGGAAAGCTACAACTCTGTGAGGCAAGTTTTCCAATTCATGCCAACTAAATTTGATGAAACCGTATATGTTGCATCAATATCACAATTGAGTTGCCACAATATTGATTAGATAACTTGGATATAATATTATGCAGCAAAAATATGGGTATTGTATAATAAAACTCAATGTTTCAACCACTGAATGTGATTAAGTTCTCCAATTTTTGGAATAATTTGTGAGGAGCCTTTCCAGATCATTAATATTTTCCGGACTCTTCCCTCTCTTAATTTTTCCTGTTGCTTGGCTTAGGGTTTGTATCCTGAGATTTACATCGAAATGTCAACTTTCTTTCAGATCAAATTGAAACCAGTGCGTAACATGGTAATGGACATTTCATGCACTACTAAGAATCTGGACCTGAGACTAATGCTGTGCACGGAGAAACTCGTAACTGATCTGACTGTAAGCTGCTTTGCCCCGTCCTTTATAAATTTACATTTCTAATCCTTGTTTCAGCAAAGATATTAATTTTGACCTATATTTATCTTCAAGCCACAATCAAAACAAAGAATGTAACGTTTTCTAGAAATGTAACAGGACGATATGGGTTAACCGTACTGGATCCCTGGCTGAACTTATGCTTCTTAGAATGAAGTTTCGTGATCATATTAATTGTTGCCATTTCAGAATGATGAGATGCAAAGCATCACGGATCTGATTAATTCTGCGATTCTAGATCCAGATTTGAAGGGTGGATTGAGGTGGCCCCCGGGGAAGGAGTCTTCTGGAGATAAATACACAGTTGTTAGGGTTTGTCACGGAATGGGTAGTACGTATAGAAATTCATCACTGGGACTTAAAGTAAAACACTACGATCGATTTGATTTGAGAACCTTAACTGGGGAAGCTTCCTGGGGAATAAGTCTGATGCTGGAAAACGTCGTGTCAAAGTTACAGGTAAAGGCTGCCTATTCTCTTGGACATTTTTTTTAGTTCATATGCTGAAATAAAAGATTAGTTTGAGAAAGTTTGTCGTGCGCTGAAATCTCCTGTTCTTTTAATTTTCAGGAAGAGAATGTTGAAGCCAGCACAATTTCTGAGATACTCAAGGGAGATATGCAGTTGATATGGGATAACTTCTTGAGCTTTGAACGTTTTCTAACATGAAATTGCATGTTGTAAATCAGTGATAACGTTCTGTGCGATGTGTATATATCTGTCTACCTCCTTTGTTTTATGTTCAACTTTCGGCATCGTTTGATGAATAATTAGTAACTGTTTTTGTATTTCTTGCAATTCTGTTTGTATCTGGCATCTTTGATGGTTAATGAAATTTTCTCGATTTTACATTCGATGACTACACTGCCAGTAAATGCTTCGGCTCACGTGTTTCTTACAACCAAGATGGTTAATGAACTTTTTGCAGTTTCTTTTAGCCTTGCGTCCCAACCCCACAAGCGGCGGTTAAAGGAAAAGGAAATTTTGTTACAAGATTCTGAACACACATTGATAATAGGTGGAGTATATATACTCTCTAGGTTCTATAGTAACTTCTAGTAACCTAATGCAAGGTTTTTTAACTTTTTGATGACGGATAATGCTCAACATCACACGTTAAAGATCCAAATGTTTATACATTAATTGTCCTTTGGTTTTTTAACTTTTCGATGGAGAAGATGAAGGATTTTTTCTTCGTATTGATTTGTTATTAGAGAAGAAGGGTTTTCTTTAATAATGAATCCCCATTTTTAAATTGGATTTTCATTCACGTAGCACAAATTTTGTGGGGCTGTGACGCTCACACGAGTAGATAATGGAGAAACTAACATAAATTGATACAGATGTATGACATTTGTATGAAATTGTTAGTCGTCTTAAAAAATTGAAAATTTTGAAAAATGTACCAAATTTGATTTGGACAAAAACTTGAGGAGACAAAATGAACCTTTTTTCTTACATTTTTCGTTGAGTTAGATAAATTTCAATCCCAAATTTCTGGCCCAATGAACTCCAAAAATGGCTTTTGAGTTGTAAAATGAGCATTTCAAAGCTAATTTTATTCTTTATTAAAACCCTCTGGTAAGAGTTATTTAATACTACATTTTAATAATATTTCTCTTTACTAGTAAGTGTAAGTGAAAGATTTTAAGTTTGATTTTCGTCAAATATGAATTTGAACCACATTATTATAGCAAACTCATTGTGAGGCTTAGCCATCTCCGTCTACGGTCTGGTGATATTCATCTTTACTTGTAAGTAAGAGGTATTAGTTCGAATCTCGTGGATGTCGAATTTGGTACCAAATTAGATTGCTCATTGTGTGGCTTATCCAAACTCCCTATTCTCTTAATTTAAAATATATCGTTATTTAAAAAAATGTAAATAATATCGTTTGTACAAAAAAAAAAAAAAAAAAAAAAAAACCTCTAGCAAAGTTAATTAGCAAAAAGAAAAAGAAAAGCCCTCCGTCGAGGTTTGTCACAAAAAAAACATATAACCCTCACCAAATTGTCTCTAAAACGAAAATGAAAAAGAAAAAAAGACCTCCAGCGAGTTGTCTTTAAAATGAAAAAGAAAAGGAAGAACCCCTCTAGCAAGTTGTAATCCTATATAATCAACGTGGAGCTTCAGTCATGATTCATTGGGTTGAGATAATTCAAGATAATTTTAATGAAAAGTTTTCGGTACTATTTATTTTAACGATAAATCACATTTTTACATTAAAAAACAATTTTGATATTATTCACTTTACTCTTTATTTTGTCATTTTCATTAAAATTCAAAATTTTCAAATTTTTTTCATTAGTTTTTCTTTAATTTCAAAGCATTCATCCTAAGCATTTCCTTTTTTTTTTTTTTTTCAAATGGCGTCTACTTCTTCCAGCTCTTCCTCCTTTATCCTTCTCCTTACACTACTGTTGACCCTAAAAATTACCAAGCCTACGTGGCGCGCAGGCCGAGTAACTAGTGAGCTAACTACGTCATTCGGTTGTATGTGGGCGTGCCAACTCGTCGGCCGACGAGTAAAATATGTTGATGTTGCGTTGGGTGCGCTATTGACTTCTGAATCTCGCGACTGCGGCTGAGGAAGGAACACTCTCGGCCTTCGGGTTCTAGAGCCTGAAGACAAGGCTGCTAGTTCTGCGAAGTTCAATATCAAATTCTGCTTTCAATGTGCCGAATGTAATAACTTGTAACACCTCACTTCGCCGAAAAGGCTAATGAGATGACCTTTGCCAATAAGGATTCGAAAATCCTTCTCGACTGAGACTTGGATAGATAACTATTCGACGCAGTGCTGTTTATCCAAACTAAAGGTGCTCTGTGGTCGGCTGATTCTACGGCAACAATGCTGTTTATCCAAACTGAAGATGTTCGCCAGTTGCCTTCATAATGCTGTTTATCCAAACTGAAGATGTGTTTGCAAAAAAGAAAATAAAAAATCTCAAGATGTTTGAGAGGTTTCGTGTAGAGCGAGGATTTGCGCATGACAGTTTGTGTGTTGAGTTGGAGATCCCTCAATGCTGCACAGTCTTCATGTATTTATAGCGTTGGATATCTACCTGGAACAGCTGATGGTGCTTGTAGAGTCCAACTGCAATTCTTTTCTGCGGAACAGAAACTAATCCGCATCAGAGAACTACCATATCCTTCAGATAGATGTTCACGATTTTCCAAACTTCACAAAAGCCTATCCAAATAAAAGTCTTATCACCATAGCCTAGCCTACCTAGGCTTGTCATCATTATCCAAGACTATTAAATCTTAGACTTATCACATCACCACAAAAAACCAAGCCTATCTAGGTTTCTCCATAATCCATCCGTGCATGCACCATGACTTTTCAAACCTCATCTACCAAGTTTCTCCAATCTGATAGCAGTAATCCTAAGTTCACTCGAACTGTACTTGTTCGAAGATATAATACTAAGATAATCCAAATTACAAAATAATTACTATGACAAAAACTATAATATTATCCTTTAACAAAAATATCTTCACTTTTCCATCCGACGGTTGAGAACTATATTTACTCAACGGCCTTGATTACACATGCCGATGGTGTAAATTTGGGTTCAAACACCTACCCAGTGTTTCCAACTTTCTTACGATTAAACTTGACCTTACCAATTACCCTGTCTGGAAAGCTCCCTTACTTCGTAGCAGGAATCTCGTCTCTTTTGTTGATGGCACTAGCAAATGTCCTCCTGCCTTTCTCAGATACTGATACTGTGAATCCGGAGTTTGAAGAATGGATTCAACAAGATGCTATGGTTATGGATTCCACCATACAAGCGGCACTCAAAGAAATCGAAGAGGTCATTGCTGACTCTAGAGCTGCTTGCTCCACAATTCAAGAAAAACTTAAATGTCAATCCATGTAATAAGTCTAATGTGGATGGGACTGGAAGAATAGTGTATGCAGACCATTCTGCAAATAGATGGTGCGCCGTCGCTTTGGATGACGAGAACCAGTTTTCCCCTATAACTCCTTATAGTATTTCTCCTATCATTATTTTAGTTTATTCATGTTGATTTAAGCCCACCAATCTGCCACATTTTTTGGTAATTTCATTTTTACTCTTAATAAAATAATTATAACCACGTTAAAACTTAAATGAAAATTTTGGACTGCTATTAACAATTCTTTCTAATTACCGAAAAACTAATTAACAATTTTTATAAGGAATAAGATTTTTAGAAAAAATATCAAATGAAATTTTTAAAGTGCTATTAACAATTCTCAAATTTAAAAGGATAAAAAAATTGATGGCTATTATTTTTGGAGAACTCACAAGGCAATGTGAAGAGTAAAAGCCATATATTAAAGGCAATGTTAGAGAGATTAAATTTGTAGATAAAATTTACAAACTAATTAAATGATGTGCCACCAATAGAAATGAATACATTTATCAACGTTTAAGTAATAATCTAATAATCAACTTACATGTCACTTATATCGCGAAGGAAATCTTGTTGCGGACAATTTTGCTAACATGAGCTTGTCTTCTCCATCTTTAACATGGCTTGATTCTCCTCCTATGGCGGTTCATGCTGCTCTGTTTTTCTGACTATGTTAGCTTGTCTGGTTACCGCTTCTCAAATTAATATGCATGTCGGCATCTAGGTTTGTCTCACTTTCTTTTTTTCTCTCCTAACTTTATGGTGTTGTTTGACTTGTTTTGCAGGTTTAGACCTTCATGTTTGGTTCTAGAGGGGTTAGGTTTCATGTCCCCCCCCTCTTTTCTTTGTATCATTCTTGTTTTTTGTTTCTAGAAGGGTAAGGTTTATGTCCCCCCTTCTTTCTAGTGTATTCCTTTTTGTTGTCTCTGTTTTTTGAGGGGTAAAGTTTATGTCCCCCTTGACTAAGTGTAACTTGTTTTTTCGTTATCAATAAAATTACCCTCGTACCGTCGAGGTTTTCCAAAAAAAAAAAAAAAAAAAAAAAACTTACATGTCACTTAGTTTACACAATTTAGTTTACAAATTTAGTCTTTTTAACGTTACTCATTTGTTAAAATCTTTTAAGACTCATGTCCAAGCGTGTATGTGTGCAAATCTCTAGTGATACTCCTTCTTTATGTCGATGACATAATCCTAACTGGTGCTAATGTTGATGATGTGCAATCTATGATTAACGAGTTGACTGCAGAATTTGATATGAAGGATTTGGGGTTGTTACATTTCTTCTTGGGGTTATAGATTGAGTATCAATCTCAAGGTGTGTGTGTTCATTAAAGTATGTCAAATATCTGCTTCAGAAAGCAAATATGGTTGACTGCAAACCTTGTCTCACTCCTTGTCATCCTAACCAGAAATTGCTCAATCATGGCAGTCCTCATATGGCTGATCCTGGATTTTATTGAAGTCTTGTAGGTGCATCGCAATATCTCACCTTAACTAGGCCTGATATTGCTTTCTCTGTAAACCAGGTGTGCCAATATATGCATACACCTCTTGAAGCTCATTTTGCTGTTGTCAAATGCATTCTAAGCTATCTTCAAGGTTATGTCAGTTTGAGATTGTGTTTTAAACCTGGCCCTTTATAGTTAAAAGCATATACATATGCTTATTGGGCTGGGGATCCCAATGATCGACGATCAACAACTGGCTTTGTTGTTTTTCTGGGATCATATCCCATTTCTTGGAGCTCTAAGAAGCAACACACTGTTAGCCAGTCTTCCACAGAGGCCGAGTATAGAGCTATGGCTACTACTACGGTTGAAGTGGTTTGGATTCAACAATTGCTTAAGGATTTACATCTTCTTGGTTCTGACACTCCATTTCTCCACTGTGACAACATTTCGGCTATGGCACTTGCAACTAATCCAGCATTTCACTCAAAATCAAA